GGCCCGCGTACCGCAAAAAAAAAAAAAAAAAAAAGAATATGGTAAAATTTAACATTTGGAAATAAAAACTTAAGAGAAAAAACAAAAAATAAAATTATTGCAATTACTGAAATGTCTAACAATGCTACTAAATGCTTATCTTTGCCCTAGCTAATCACAAAACAGCTCAATTATTTTGTTCTAAAATACTTATAATTTGAAAATTAGAAATCAGGGAACTTGCCTTCGAATCCTCACTGCCAGTCACTTTCTAGGTACCTTTGGCAAAAGAAAACTTCCCTCAACCTAAGATTTCTCACCGTAGAAGATGAAATAATAGCTAAGGCTAAAGCAGTGGCACGAGAATGAAATGAAAATTAGCTGTGTCTACCTGCATGTTTCCCTCACCTGTTTTTAAGGGGAGACGGGGAAGAATGGTTCCTTAACACCTTCACTCTCTGGCAGCCTGCCATTCTCAACAGCAACAATCCTGAATGTCTGAAGGCAGCAAACTTAGTTGCTGCAATCTTAAAAGAGGATGTTTGGCACTTTACATAACATATTTTGACAGTGATTAACAGCTGGTATTCCAGAGTGTAGTTACTTGCTTTCTAAAGAAAAGAAGTTAGATACCTGCTCATTAGGTTTTCAAAAATTCATTTTTCACAACTGTCCCCCAAAGAAGCATTATTCTTTGATTTTTCTAAGGCAATTTCAACTTATAACATTATATATTATAGCAATAGTGCTAAAGTGCTGGCTAGTGTCCCTTAGTGCAAGAAAGCTGTGATGTGCCTTATGGAGAAAATACATGTTAGATAAGCTTTGTGCGAGCATGATTAATAGTGCTGTTGGCCCTGAGTTCAATGCTAATGAGTCAACAATACGTACTAAATAAGGTGTCTTTAAACAGAAACATGGTTATATAGTGATCAGTTGATGAAAATGTTGTGACCAGAGGCTCACAGGAACCTATCCCTGTATTTCCTCTAGAAGCAAAAGTTCAGTATTCAGTAATTCAGTGTCTGTGGTAACTACTGAGATAGTAAGAATCAACAGTCACCAAACCCATCACCAAGTCCTATAGATTCTACTTCTAGAACGTAACTCAAATCCATTACCTTCATCACCTGCTCTGTCATCATGGCCACAATCCCTGGGCTCTAATAAGCTCCCTTACTTCCAACTCTTATACCCTTCCAATCCATTCTCCTCAAAGGAATCAACAAAGTAACTCAAAGTCATGTGGGTCACCATGTTAGTCCCTGATTTAAACCATTCAGTGATTTTCAATGCACTTGAGATAAAATCCAAAATCCTTTACAGGCCCACAGGATTACTCTTGATACCCTGCCGACCTCTCCTGCTTCATCTTAGCACCACTCCCCTCTCACAGCACTCCAGATACACTGATTTGTTGTTCTTCAAACACACTGTTCTCTTTACTCTCTGCTCTTCTCTTGCCCAACTTCCATTCAATCTTCAGGTCTGGGTTTAAATGTAACTTCCTCAGAGAGGAAGCCCTCAACATTTTCACTGGGTATGTTTCCCACACAGCTATGCTTTAGTTTCATTAACGATTGTCTCATGACATATTGCTGAAGAAGCTGAAGATGCAATCACGATATCCTTTCATTTCATTCCGTAGCTATCAACCTGTGACCTCATGGGTAAAATAATTCTCCTTTCTCTATCACTCTTTTATCATTCCAAGAGATTAACATTTTTCACAGATGCCCTCTTAAAAGTAACCCCTTTGCTCCAAGAAATAAAATATTTTCTTGTTATGAATACCAGGTATTCCATTCTACCAATGTGTTTTGAATAAGAACATGATAATTTGCCAACATGTTTCTCCATAAAAATTACATTTGCTTTAAAATCCAGTAATTTCAAATGCATTTCACTTCTTTCATGCTTTACGATTTTCCAGTGCTTTTTCCACTTGGAAACTTGCTGTGTTTTAAATGATTCTTCTTCACAGCCAAATTCTTGTTAGCCATGTAGTGTCAAATGCCAACCACCAAAACTCTGTGTCATAATACTTTACTTTGTCCTGATTGTCCCTGGTCTTGTGTACTCTGCAGGTAAATGTTCATAAAAGAGCCTCTACACTATGCAGGTGACATACACAGTAAGTGATTACTGGTGATAATCATGATGATGAAGTACAGTATTTAGTTTTCCACACTGTTGCTATTTCAACACCATTATTGGGACTTGTCTGGTGAACTCTTGGAAACTTTTCTGCTTTCATTAATATTTTGATATAATTTCCAAAAACGTTTCCACAAAACAAACTACAACTGACCATATCCATAACACTGAATAACTTAAGAATAGCAAGCAATGCAAAGCTGAAAAAGCATCAAAATAAAACAAAAAGTCATGCAGACAGGTTAGCAGGACACTCCCAACTGCTGAGTTAAACCAAAGGCCTCATTGCTTTTCTGCACATTGGTTTTTAAAAAGTCTTAACAGTTACGAAACAACAAAACCATGATCTGATCTTACAGTTTAAAATAGCTGATTTCATGCTTGACAGCCCTATTTCATTACTGGGTCATAATTTTTTCTCCCTAAGGAAGCTGGGGAATAAGGAGAAGAAATGTGTTCCCCTATTCCCCTTTTTCCAATACCGCCATTTTTGTTTTAAAAGAAGTTAAGCCCTAAGATTTTATTAATTTATTAATGCTTAAATTGTTATATGGATGTTGTTCTAGAGCTTCAAGCAGATTTTTTCCTTTGGAACACTGCCTTTTAAAGTTTTAAAGGTACAATAAAGCCCCTCCTTTACCTGACATTATGCAGAATAGTGGAAGCCAAATTTCCTTAAAAATGGATCTTGTTAAGTAAAAAGCTGTGAAAGGTCTGAGGTTTTACCCTACTTGCAACCTAACAAGTTAGGCTGCCACAGTATCTCTGCCTACAAGATAAATTTTAAACACAAATTTTCTATTAAAGCTTTCCACCATCAAGTCTCAAGTTATTTTCTGTTCTTTCCTCCTTCCCCAAGCCAGTTTTAGAGTATTTTTTTCTGATGGTTATTTGTAATAATGTGTGTGTTTACTAGTTCATTTTCTGTCTCTTCCACTGAAACTAAGTTCCAAGCAAGCAGAAACCATATCTACTTCATTCATACCTGTATATCCAGCACCTATGATAAAACTGTCACACAGAAATCACTTAATAAATATTTGTTAAATGAAATTTTAAAGTGTTTAAATGTAATTTAAACCTACATACATGCTATTCCTCACTACTTCCCACTCTCACCAGCCCACATCTTGAAACCTAGATGAATTCACCCACCCACATGACCCAGATGGGTCCCCATCTCATAAATCGTTCCCCAAGTAATTTCCTACCAGATTTTATTTAATTCTCACAACCCTATTTTCTCCAATTAAGAAATGAAGAAACTATACAACATAACCCAAAGCTCACCTCCTCTTGTTTCATTTTCTCTTGTCTCTTGTTGCTGTTTTTCTCTCATCCACAGACTATGGCTGTTTTCCTCTGTCTTGAATGGACGCTGACCCCTAGTTTTATAGACTCAGTGTCTAGAATTTCCCTTTTCAGCCCCATAAACTCACTGCATATATTTCTTTATTGGTGGTGAGAAAGTCATCTGATTTTTATCAGACTTAAAGTATTCCAGTCTATGAATAATATAATGTGGGAAATGAAAACAGACAAGCATAAAACTATTGGGCTTATGGGCAGGACTGAAGACTTATAACATAAACTTTAAGAAAAGAAGAAATGAAGAAACTAAAGCTCAGAGAAGTTAAGGAATACGTGGAAAGTCATAATCCCAATGAGTCTAGGACTAAAATTAGGTCTGTCTCACTCCAAAGCCCCTATTCTTAACCCTCTCTTATACTGCATCCTTGGCTAAAACGATTTTCATAGGATGTTACTGATACAAAACCCAGTGCTGCCACATAGTAAAAGTATAGCAAGGGAGGAACCTCAGATGCTGTATAGATAAAATAGGGGTAATTATAGTACTTAACCTAAAAAATATATAAAGATTAAATGAGATAACTAATGAAAAGCACTTAGCACAGTGCCTAACACTTAATACAGGAAACACTCAAGAAATGTTAACTAGGGCTTCCCTGGTGGCACAGTGGTTGAGAATCTGCCTGCTAATGCAGGGGACACGGGTTCGAGCCCTGGTCTGCGAAGATCCCACATGCTGCGGAGCAACTAGGCCCGTGAGCCACAACTACTGAGCCTGCACGTCTGGAGCCTATGCTCCGCAACAAGAGAGGCCGCGATAGTGAGAGGCCCGCGCACTGTGATGAAGAGTGGCCCCCGCTTGCCACAACTAGAGAAAGCCCTTGCACAGAAATGAAGACCCAACCCAGCCACCAATCAATCAATCAATAATAAATAAATAAATGATAAATAATAAATAAATAATGAATAAATAATAAATTAAAAATAAATAAATAATAATAATACAAATAAATAAATAAATGTAAATAAATAAGCCAAGCATTTGAAGCCCCTTAAAAAAAAAATGATAACTATTATTATCATAATATTCCTCTACAACAGAAGTCAGCAAATGTTTCCTGTAAGAACCAAATCGTAAATAGTCTAGGCTCTGTGAGCCACCATACTGTCTCTGTTGCAACAAAAATAAGCAGCAAACTGGATTTGGCCAGTGGGCCACAGTTTGCTAACCCCTGCTTTAGGGTGGAATTCTTCAACTTCGGCACTACTAATATGTGGGGCTGGGTAATTCTCTGTTATGGAGTGCTGTCCTGGAGGACAGGACATTGTAGGACATTTATCAGCACCCTTGGCCTCCACCTACTTGATGCCAGTAGCATCCCCCAAGTTGGGTCAACCAGAATAATATCTCTGAGGGAGCAAAACTGTCCTGAGTTGAGGAAGACTGCTCTAAAGCAATCAAACATACAAAGATGTAGCTTGAATCTTCTGATAAAGAACATAACTGAGTAAAAAATTAATAACTTAACACACTAAAAAGTATTTATACTCACTTAGCTAAAATTCCCACACTTAGCAATAACTTTATAACTTCTGTGATACACACGGCTGTGGTTGAAAAGTAGAGTTCTTTGTCTGATGTCCTTGTGTATCTTAAAGCTATGGTGTAAGTTGCAGCCACCAGGGTCATCACTGCCAAGCAGTATAACTTGAATAATAAATTGACATTTTCTGGAAAATACGTGCAACAAAGATATTATTTAGTAGACAATATTATGTATATAAAAGTTAAGCAGTGTTATACCTCAAAATGCCTTCCAATTTCAAGCACAAAATACGTTTAAAAATTTATTTCAAAACAATATTTTCCAACTACATGAACAGAAACAAACATACACACACAAAACACAGCTGACTTTAAGTATCAACTGGTTAGGCATAGATTTTGTTCCTGGGGAGGGCTTAAGTGCAAGGTTATATGGCATAACTAACTCTAGTTTAGGATGTTATAAATCACATACTTTATGTATCTTTATAATTCATACTTGTGAAAGCAAAACACAAAAGCAAGATGAAAACGATTACTGCAATGTATGTTCTAAATAGAGAGACAGCAGAAAGAAAACAAAATAACGGAGTGATAAAATAATATAGAACTTCATCATAATAAAAAACAAATTACATCCAGCCTCTCATTTCATAGCATTATAAGAAAGATAATTCATAACACCATAAAAAAGAGTATTAAGAATGAAGTTCTGTAAAACTTGAAATCCAGGAAATATACACAACTTATGAACACTCAATTTAAGAACTTCTTGCAAGTATATCTGAGCAGCAGCCATCACTCAGGTGCCAAGGCCGGTCTAACACCTTCAATAAAACCACAAGCACCGGTGTACCAGGGCTCCTTCCATACTCCCAGCCCTGCTCTGAGACTACCATCACCTAATGCTCAAACTATGTCTACTTTCTTTACCCACTTCACACCTCTCTCATCCCCAGCTACCTGTAACCTTTCAAATCTCAGGCACATGTTAAACAGGGATCAGCAAATTTTTTCTGTAAAGGGCCAAGAGTAAATATTTTAGGTTTTTTAGGCCACAAGGCAAAATCAAGGATATCATGTAGGTACTTAGGTGACAAGAGAGAAAATATACTTTCACATTTAATTTATATTTAATTGGAAAAATTCAAAATATAATAATTATTGAGTACAATGCTTTACAGTATTGAGAAGAAGGGAATTCTATGGGGTGCGTGGGTAATATTTTGCTTCATTGGTCTTCAAAGTTAGGGATCCATCAGATTAATTACAAACATTCACCTGTAAAAACCATTCTTAGCTGATAGGCCATACAAAAACAAGTGATAGGCTGGGTTTGACCAATGGGCCATACTTTGACAACGTGGGTTAAGAACCAGAGGGACAGGGGGTAACTCTGGGCTGCTACTGTAACTACATTACCCCTACGTACACTTTTGTTCACCACTTTGGGAGCCTAACCACAATTCAAAGGTGACTTGCACAGGAAAATAAAATAGGAGTTTCAAATAAGTTATATGGTAAGGTAGAAACTCACTAGGAAACAGATTATTCAATATAAATATTTTTTCCTGGGTGAATTAAAGAATTATTTGTAAGTTTCAGGCAGATTTTTTAAATTACATTAGGTCTTAACTGAAAAGTAATATGGTAAAATAGAAGAAATAGAGCTTCTCTGCCTAAACTTTCTTTCCAATAGATCCGAGGACCCAAAAAGCAATGTTAATGTAAAAGGGATTGAAGGAGATTACTAGAATACTTTGCTTGCTCTAAAAGTTTCCTACACAGGAGGAAATGTAAAACTTAAAAAATAAACAGCAGTACAGGAGAAAGCATTTCCCATCTTCTTGATCGGGGGTGAGCAACCTACATTTCCTCTCATTTTTATATGACCTGCAAGCTGAGAATAGTTTTACATTTTTAAACGGTTGGAAAAAAGTTTTTCGTTAATCTTTTGGGATGTGTGAAAATTGTATGACATTCAGATTCATTGTCCATAAAAAACGTTTTACTGGAACACAACTACGCTCATTTGTTTCTGAACTATCTATGGCTACTTTTTTTTTTTGCCGGGCAACAGCAGGATGAGTAGTTATGACTGAGACCATCAGCCGTTAACAGAAAAAGTTTACCAGCCCATATCCTAGATTATCAATACTTTCATAAATAAGAGATGTTAGGATCGCCAAACTAAAAACTACTTTATTTTAGCTCTTATATAGGTTCCTGATTCCAAAACAACATAGTGAATGTTTAACACTTTGAAAGTACACCTCTTAGAATCGTGATTAATGGGAATATAGATGATATTCTTGAAAATAACTACTGATGGAAATAGAAGCGTAAACAAATAAGTTTAGATATTTGTATAACATATAGGGCTTTGGTATAGAATACCACTTTTAAAACATATAATAAACTTTTTAAAAATACTTAATGCTTTTTTAAGCATTATTTTCTCTAATTTCAGCTTACCATTAGATCAAAATATCTTCTTCACTCCAGTCATTAATTCTCCAATATGAAAGTTCAATTATTAGCAATTTCAGTTTTTTTTCAGGGTAATATCAAAAGTCCATACAGGGACTTCCCAGGTGGGCCAGTGGTTAAGACTTCGCGCTTCCACTGCAGGGGGCGTGGGTTCCACCCCGCATGCCCAGAGGCTCGCCACGAGAAAAAAAAAAGTCCACAACTCAACTGCATTGTTGAGTGGGTACACTGGCACATCAGCACTGTTTTCTCCTTCTCACAAAGTTCCCATTAGCTCCCACGCAGTATCTGTTTTTGTGTGGAAAATGCCCCCCAAATGAAATTTACCGTGTGGAGTTAAATCTTTTGCTCAGTTATACTTTACTATATTTTAGAGGAAACATTACTTGTAACACCTGAGAACTTGGAAATTCATGAAGTCCCAGATAAATAAATCCTTTGTGAATATCAGGAAGCTCAAGAAACTGCAATTTTGTATTACACATTTCTAGTGGGCATATATAAGATTTATAACATGACCCAGGCACAGCAAATATGTATTGGCAGTAAACCTAAATCTGTAAATTGTGGCAACTATTTCAGATAATGATTCGACTTATGTAATTCTGAACTTGCCTTCACCATTAATCTCGCTATTCCCATTTTATGTCAGTTATCAAAACAATTCTACTTTTTTCCCTTTACTTCCTGTGTTGCTACAAAAAGACTTAAGGTTGGGCTTATTTGAAAAGCAAATAAGAGAAGCATATGCAACTACAGACAGTACCCCCTGGGCAGGGCCTGAATAATAAACGTGGCCTCTTCAACCAGGAAAATAATTTGGTACCCATGCAAAAAGCTATTCTTTAAATATTTGCTCAACTTTATTCAGAGGTAAAGCCAAGAGCTCTACGAAAGAAGGGTGGAGAAAGAGTGTTGCCCAACCTCTCCTAGCTACTGTTCTACCATTCAGAAATTCAGCTCTCGTCCTTACTTACTTACCGGACTCAGCAAAGCAGAAGTGCTGCGGAGTTAATCAGACTCACCCTCACGAAATGGCAATTAGTCATCAAACAGTATTACTCTAATGTGCTATCCCTGGGGAAGGGGGCGGGGGAGTGGATCTCGCCCCACCCCTCCGGCAAAATATCAAAGTATTTCTTCTAACAACATACAACATTCTCCTTGGAAGTAACTCTGTTAACGACTGCTTTCTCCACCTCGTTACGGCTGCAATGCTATTTTAATGCCCCAATGATGTTTTTAGTGGCTGTTACGTGGGCCAGCCGCTGCTTAGGCTCTGCACCCGGAGCATGCCCTTATGCCTCTGTGCATCCTAGGGCAGGAGGCGCAGCGGAGATAGCAGCCGCGGTGACCCCGGCCAGGACAGAAACCGGTCCTGCCTTCCGCTGGGTGATGCGTCTCCAGCCCCGCACCTGCGCCCCGGCCCCTCGCCGGGTCTGTCTGAATTCGGTTCCCACCCACTGCCAACTCGTCGAGGCAGGCGCAGTTTCGGGCCGCCGAACTGTCCATCGCGGAGTACGCCGCGAGGAAGGCAGCCGCAGTGGGAGGCTGGCTGCCCCGCACTGCCACAAGCGGCGGCGGCGCGCGCTCAAGCCCGAGAGCGGCTCAACACAAACTCCTGCTGCCCGACGCCCCGGCCTGGCCCCTGGGCCCCAGAGCCCCGCGGGCGCGGAGGATGGCCGGCCGCCGACAGGTGCAGACCAGCGCTGACGCCCGCTCGCCACCGCCCCCCGCGGGGTCCCAAGTCCCCAGTCCCAGCAGCCCCCGGCCTCACCTCTCTGAGGAGCCATGGTTCCCCGACAGCACCGCGCGGAACTGACGCGCGCCCCCTTCGCGCGCGCTGCGCAGGACACCGGGGACCGCCTCCTGGGGTCATAGAGACGAATGCCGCTCGGCCTAGAGCGCCTCGCCGGCCGACCAGCCACGGATTCCCGCCCAGCCAAGCACAAAGATTAGGCTAATGAATCAGAAGGCTGCGGAAAACGGGAGGATCCGGATGGAAGAGAGGCCTGTTCCGCCCAGTCTATGTTGACGAGTGCGTAAAACTCGGTTCCAAGGGGCTCTCTTGTAAACTACAACTCCCGGCCGGCTAAGGAAGCAGGAGTCAAGGGAGCGGAGCGTTGCCTTCTGGGAGCTGTAGTCCTCACCAGGTGACTGGGCGGCAAATAGAAATTGGGCTTAGACTTAGAGATTCGTGCCTGGCAAAGCTGTTGTAGCACCTCCAAGAACTCGTAAAGTAACAGAAACTTCTTTCGACAGCGTTGGCAACTTCTGTAACTTCCTTTAACTTCCTCCTTCATGAAACTCCTTTGTTACCTCTTATTTAAACTTACAGTAATTCCCCTATATACCAACCTTCAAGTGGCGAACTTTCAAAGATGCGAACGTGCATTCCATCAACGCCAGGCGTGAGTGAAATTGCAGCTTGCCCTCCCTCTCCTATTGCTGACGATCCTTCAGCTCTACCATCTCCCACCTCCTCTCCCTCCTCCAGTCAGTAACTCTTCTTGCCTGTTCACTTGATGCCAGCGCGTATATGCCAGCTGTTGTACTGTACTACTGTACTTTTCAAGATACTGTACTATAAGGTTTCAAATGTTTTATTTTTTGCTTGTTTTTTATGTATTATTTGTGTGAAAGTATTATAAACCTATTACAGTGCTCTATAGCCGATTTTGTTAGTTGGGTACCTGGGCTAACTTTGTTGGACTTACGAACAAATTGGACTTACAAACATGTTCTCGGAACAGACCTCGTTCGTATGTAGGAGACTTACTGTATAGTTTATATTACATATTGTTCAGAAGTCTTGTGCCTGTGTCCTCATCGTCAGCATTATCATTATGTTTACCTAGCCAGACATGCTAACTGCACGATCTTCGCACAACGAAAGGGCTCCGAAAACATTAGACATATCAACAGGCATTTACTTCAACTGCTATGATCTCCACGTTCACTGAAGCATATTAATTAGCATAAGCGATGTTAGAAATAATTCTCTGGAAAATGAATGGTCTTCAAGATATGTGGATTAAAAATACTATGTAAGTACCTCAGTTCTTACAGGAACATGGGTACAAGATTCTGAGATGCCCAGCAGCCTACACCTTCTATGGCATGATCTTTCTCCAAAATGATTTTTTAAAGGTTTGGGTGGTCAATGTTATATACCATTGTCTTATCATTATATACATAGATATAGATATATAGTCTATTAACATTATTGGAATATTTTTCATTCCTTATTAGCATCACATTAATATCAGAAGGGGCTCACAGAAGGAGATCACAGTTTATGTAGTCAGACATTTGATTAATCTCACTTTGGAACAGTGTTGGATCTTCCCTCTGCCTGGTGTATGTGTGCTCACTGGTGCTGATCACCTCTTCCTGTAATTGGTACAGTTCTCACTTATGGAATTATTCAGTTCCATGCTGTGTATTTCTTATATGTACACTTAAACAAAAATTCATATGTATACTTGAAATTAATTGTGAAAATTAAAAATATTCTATCAGACATTTCTTCTTTTGTTTTGTAACTACTGCTCTGTACAGTTTATTTATCTCTTCCCATTTTGGAGTATCATGATAGTTTCAACTTACTTCAATTAACTATAATTATTCTCCTCTGGACACTCAAATTGTCCCAGTATGGTCCCTGTAAGCCTACTCCTTTAAATCTGCACAAGCTTTTTGAAGCATTTTTGATTTCCACGTTCCAGGTTCCAGGCCAATCTTCATTCTTCCCTGTCCTAGGCCATGGAATCAACTACACTTCAAGAAACTATGGTTCCTTCTGGGGGGAGAATAGTATTAAACACACACACACACATCATAATTAGGGTGGTGGGTAAAATGCTTTGGGGCCAGTATGTGGCATTTCTGGTTCACATACATATCCTGCTGCTGAACCCCAGCTTTCCTGTAAATTTTCATTGCCTGTGAAGACTTTCTACTCCATTGCCATAAGCCTTGACTAGATTTTGATGCCCTTGTCCTAACGTGATCAGCCCAAAACCACCAGGGACAAACCTATAGTCAGACAGAGTCAGGATTATTGGCTCATTCCAGCGAGAGAGACTGCACACCAGAATAACTGTGGGAAGTCTCAGGAAACAAAGGAAAAAGAGTTATAGAATGTGGGCGAAGAATGGAGTTAGGTGAAATTTAAAAAGAAGTGGTATTTTGCAGCAAAAAGAATAAAATACCTAGGAATAAACCTACCTAAGGAGACAAAAGACCTGAATGCAGAAAACTATAAGACAGTGATGAAAGAAATTAAAGGTGATACAAACAGATGGAGAGATACACCATGTTCTTGGATTGGAAGAATCAACATTGTGAAAATGACTCTACTACCCAAAGCAATCTACAGATTCAATGCAATCCCTATCAAACTACCAACGGCATTTTTCACAGAACTAGAACAAAAAATTGCACAATTTGTATGGAAACACAAAGGACCCCGAATAGCCAAAGCAATCTTGAGAAAGAAAAGCAGAGCTGAAGGAATCAGGCCCGTGGACTTCAGACTACACCACAATGCTACAGTAATCAAGACAGTATGGTACTGGCAGAAAAACAGAAATATAGATCAATGGAACAGGATAGAAAGCCCAGAGATAAACCCAAACACACATGGTCACCTTACTTTTGATAAAGGAGGCAAGAATATACAATGGAGAAAAGACAGCCTCTTCAATAAGTGGTGCTGAGAAAACTGTACAGCTACATGTAAAAGAATGAAATTAGAACACTCCCTAACACCATACACAAAAATAAACTCAAAATGGATTAAAGACCTAAATGTAAGGCCAGACACTATAAAACGCTTAGAGGAAAACATACGCAGAACACTCTATGACATAAATCACAGCAAGATCCTTTTTTGACCCACCTCCTAGAGAAATGGAAATAAAAGCAAAAATGAACAAATGGGACCTAATGAAACTTTAAAACTTTTGCACAGCAAAGGAAACCATAAACAAGACAAAAAGACAACCCTCAGAATGGGAGAAAATATTTGCAAATGAAGCAACTGACAAAAGATTAATCTCCAAAATTTACAAGCAGCTCATGCAGCGCAATATGAAAAAAACAACCCAATCCAAAAATGAGCAGAAGACCTAAACAGACATTTCTCAAAAGAAGATGTACAGGGCTTCCCTGGTGGCACAGTGGTTGAGAGTCTGCCTGCCGATGCAGGGGACACGGGTTCGTGCCCCGGTCCGGGAGGATCCCACATGCCGCGCAGCGCCTGGGCCCATGAGCCATGGCCGCTGAGCCTGCGCGTCCAGAGCCTGTGCTCTACAGCGGGAGAGGCCACAACAGTGAGAGGCCCGCATACTGCAAAAAAAAAGAAGAAGATATACAGATTGCCAACAAACACATGAAAGGATGCCCAACATCACTAATCATTAGAGAAATACAAATCAAAACTACATTGAGGTATCACCTCACACCAGCCAGAATGGCCATCATCAAAAAATCTACAAATGCTGGAGAGGGTGTGGAGAAAAGGGAACCCTCTTGCACTGTTGGTGGGAATGTAAATTGATCCAGCCACTATGGAGAACAGTATGGAGGTTCCTTAAAAAACTAAAAATAGAACTACCATATGACCCAGCAATCCCACTACTGGGCATATACCCTGAGAAAACCATAATTCAAAAAGAGTCATGTACCACAATGTTCATTGCAGCTCTATTTACAATAGCCAGGACATGGAAGCAACCTAAGTGTCCATCAACAGATGAATGGATAAAGAAGGTGTGGCACATATATACAATGGAATATTACTCAGCCATAAAAGGAAATAAAACTGAGTTATTTGTAGTGAGGTGGATGGACCTAGAGTCTGTCATACAGAGTGAAGTAAGTCAGAAAGAGCAAAACAAATACCGTGTGCTAATACATATATATGGAATCTTAAAAAAAAAAATGGTTCTGAAGAACCTAGGGGCAGGACAGGAATAAAGACGCAGACGTAGAGAATGGACTTGAGGACACGGGGAGGGGAAGGGTAAGCTGGGACGAAGTGAGAGAGTGGCATGGACATATATACACTACCAAATGTAAAATAGATAGCTAGTGGGAAGCAGCCACATAGCACAGGGAGATCAGCTCGGTGCTTTGTGACCACCTAGAAGGGTGGGGTAGGGAGGGAGGGAGGGAGACATAAGAGGGAGGAGATATGGGGATATGTGTATACGTATAGCTGATTCACTTTGTTATAAAGCAGAAACTAACACACCATTGTAAAGCAAGTATACTCCAATAAAGATGTTTTAAAAATAATAAATAAATAAAAAGCAGCGATATTTTGATAGCTTCAAAGCAGGGCTGTGTGTGAAAAACTCAACATCAGATCTGGACTGCAGAATAGTCTCAGGATCCTGTTTCTTGGAAACTCTGAAGTTACTATAGATGTGGACTGCTGTATTCAGGAGCCCCTTAAATGAAGGCTTTGCACCTAGGTTGGAAACTGAGGCTGCTTCTTTGTGTCAAAGTGACTTAAATCCTTCAAGCAAGGAAGGAGTGTTTCATTCTTACTGATACAATTTCAACAGCAAGGTTCCTAGTAGCATACGATTTTAGAGAACAAAATTTTTCAGTGAAATAGAAAGCAGACACTCAGAAAAGGGGGTTGTTATTGTACTTTACAACTGTAGCGTATCCTTGAGAGGTATGTTATTTCCTGTTAACTCTGCAGCTGGGATTTCTGTGCTCGTTATCCCAGCCCAATGAATGGCCAAGCAGATATTTATAATATTCTTAGTTGAAGCTAATTTTTCTTTCTCATTTCTAATTATCCTAAGTCTTCGAGGGCGAATGTCAGTTGAATGTGTTTCTTTTACGTATGCCTAGTTTTCTAGACAAGCCTTGGTTAGGGCAAGGAGCAGCCATCTCCAACATGTGAGCCATAAGCTCATTTGCCTGATGATGGAATAACCTTACAGCAGCCGTTACTATTTGCATTTGAGACCCCAGTGATATTCACTATCCATTTGAGACCATTTGAGACCCCAGTGATTGTCACTATCAAACTGCAGCGTTTGTCTCGATACCCTGCTCACTTCTATCTCTGCTCTGGTATCAGGGCTACCCTAGTCTCAGTGAACTGTGCGAAAGGAAGCCCACTATGTCTCCATTAGTAACAAAGCATATAAAAGTGTGAACTTCATTCATTAAACAAGAAGACTGTGCAGGAAGCAAATACCAAAAGGCTTAAGGAGGCTGTAGTTCAACTATGGTAGCTGTATAATAGATCACTAAAAGTGGTAAGGTCTAAAGTACAGTAAACCATTAACCATAAAGAACTGTGTAGGCAAATCTCCAACTGTAGACAGAGCGAGATTAAGCATATTATTCTCATTCTGCTATTAAGAAAACATCCAAAGCCAATTTGCTAGGTGATTATTTTAAAACAACTCTTTCCTATGGTATAAAATTACTAAAGAGAAGCCAGAAGAATTGTTGCATTTTAGAATTGAGAAAATTTGTTTAAAAATACAAAGAGACAAGGGCTTCCCTGGTGGCACAGTGGTTGAGAGTCCGCCTGCCGATGCGGGGGACACGGGTTCGTGCCCCGGTTTGGGAGGATCCCACATGCCGCGGAGCGGCTGGGCCCGGGAGCCATGGCCGCTGGGCCTGCGCGTCCGGAGCCTGTGCTCCGCAACGGGAGAGGCCACAGCAGTGAGAGGCCCGCGTACCGCAAAAAAAAAAAAAAAAAAAAAAAAATACAAAGAGACAATGTACAATTCAGTGTCTGAACTAAAAGAGTTAAATATGAGTAAAAATCATGAGTATCTAAACATTTCTCATTTGAGCTTAACTCTCCCTTGCCTCTGCTTCCATTTTTAGTTACCATAATCCCGTTTCTCTTTTCCTGCCAGTCCCTGGTAAGTACTTTGTACTTAGTTGTACAATTTTCTGCTTCGCTGGCTGCAATCTTATTTCTACTCAAGCCAACTCTATTAAAACAGCTTAGCCGCTGCCAACTCCATTCCTCATTCTCTTGGGTTTGTTCATCAGACATTTACTAAAAGTCCTAATGTGCCAGCATTATTCTAGGCACTAAGAGCTAGAAAACAGAAATCGGGGAAAACGAGGATGGAAATGCAGCAGAAATGAAACACTGGGGCTTCTCTCCTGGCTAACAATGACAAGGCACTTACCAGACAAATGCTTTACACGTGTTAACTAACTCATTTAATCCTCTCAACAAGCCAATGAGTTGGGAAATGTTATTACACCAGTTTTTATGATGAAGAAACTGCAGCAGAGAGATATTAAATAACACAGCTAATAAGTAATAGACCTAGACTTTACTTCCATAATCACAGAGATTCCTTTACGTCTTTTTCTACTCTTCTGACTGTTCCTCTGTCTTATCTCTTCCTCCTCATTCCATCCCCATTCGTTGGGGATGATCCCCCAAACTATCTTTCTCCAGATCAAATTCCAGTCACCTCTGCTTTACTATCTTTGTCATTTCTTAAACTCAAAATTTCCAGTACTGAACACATTATCTTTTTTGACCAACCAGTTCCTCTTCTCAATTATCCTCTGTTTCCTAGCAACCCTAGGGTAGAGACTTTGATTTTCCCTTCCCTTCCCTGGAATGTTAGATTCCCTTCATTAAATCTCACATTTGCGCCTTCATGTCTTCCATTACTGCAATGCCCTAACTCTTGTAACAGCTTCCTCACCATCTCCCCAATTCCAGTATCTCCCTTCCACAATGTATCTTCTGTTCAAGAATCTGCCACGGTTTTCTAATATTCTACTACAGGAACGCAACACATTCCTCTGCCTGGCTTTCAGAGTCCTCCAAAATCTATACAACCCTGCTTATCCAACTTTATTTCCCACCACCTTCCCCACAGATGTTCTTACTTTGCCTCTCAGTTTTTCTCCCTCTTTTCCAAAAACTACTTTGCGACTGAACTACCACCTTGACTATTAGAATAATCACTCAACCAGTACTCTGCTTCCAGTTCGTCCTTTCTTTCATTCCTTTTCTTTTAAAATTCATTCATCCAACAAGGTACTATAACAATACCAGGGATATAAGAATGACTAAAACACAGTTCAACTCTCAAGAAATGCACAGTCTAACGGGGAGAATACAGATGGACACATATAGACCTTTTTACTTCAAGTGTTATAATAAGAATATGAATAAAATCCAATGAAAACCCAAAGGAAGAGCAATTAATTCTCTCAAAGGTGATGGGGAAAACCTTCATTGAAAAAGTAAAATCTGATCAACAGATTTCATGGGGACAAACAGATTTCCTGAGGGTGTCTGTGGAGTACATTCCAGGGGACAGAGTGACAAGCAAGCACAGAGAGGGATGGTATCAAAGACCATAACACACTCGAAGAGTTTGGGCTCCATTTGCCTGTAGGTGTAGTGTGTGCAGAGAGCATGAGGGGGCAGAAAATGAAACTGGAAGATACATGGATATATATGAAAAGTCTTATAGAATATGGCAAGGAGTTTTTATCCCCCAGATAATGGAAAAGTGTCTTTTTAAACAAGGGAAGTGAAGGTTGTAGGGGAGGAAGCCAGGTGACCTGATCAAATTTGTGTGTTAGAAAAGTTACGCCGATGAATCAGGCAATAAGACTAAGTCCTAAACTACGGCAATAGCAGTGAGAATAGGAAGACACGGTTCCCAAAGGCAGATGAAGCCGAGTCAACAGGGCTTGGTGACTAGTTAAATGCAGGGGCTGTGTGAGAAAGACAATCCAGAAGTTTTTAATTTATGCTACTGAGCAGGTAGTGATGCCTTTGACCACAGAAGGAAATACAGAGAGAGAAACAAGTTCGGTAGAGGAAATGAGTTCGGCCTGTGACCTGCTGAAATGGGGGTAACCGACTGACACTGGGTCCAACATATGGTTGGAAATCTTTAGAGAGTGATGGGGCTTGGGTAGACAGTGGAGGTCTTGGGAGAAGATGAGTTTACCGTTTGATCTAGCTCCCCGTATTCTCATTCTGTTGTACTTACCAGATGACTTTCTGATATTTAGCTTTTCATATAGTATGTGGTATTCTTATGCACTTGGCAATTCTACTTTCAGCCCTAACCTGGTAACCCCAAATTGTGGCTTATCAGCCATCCTTTTCTGTGTTTAAAAATCTTGCAGAATCAAAGGAGGGTTGATTAGAACAGGTAAAATCAAATTCCTGAATTTGCAAAGTTTAGTATTAGCTGTAACCACCCTCTTCAGGTACAGAGCCCTCCCAACCCCATGTCCACTCCATCCCCACCCCCAGGCCTTGCCTCAACAGCCAGCCAGCCCATCTTTAAGTTCATTTTTAAACTACAGGTATGATAAACAACAAGGTCCTACTGCAGAACACAGGGAACAATATTCAATATCCTGTGATAAACCATAATGGAAAAGAATATAAAAAAGGATGTAGATATATGGATAACTGAATCACTTTGCTGTACAGCAGAAATTAACACATTGTAAATCAACTATACTTCAGTAAAAAAATTAAACTACAGGTATGAAAATCATGACAACTTAGAAGTAGATCTGTTTGAAGTTTACCTTTATAGTATCTGAGAAAAATGGATTTTGAAGCATATCATATTATAAGTAACATTTAACCTACATAGAAAATAAATTATACAAACACCTTAGTAAGAGTCACCTAAGCCAAAAATATGTGCTAAATATAAATGACACCCCCTGCCCCCAGGCTTAACAGGCCCTCTGCTTGAGAGACTTCATTATCCATGCTTAGGTATTGGGAGTGTGTAAGACAGCAACAAAACAACAGCTCTAAAATTTGGCTATCAGTAATTGACAGGGGCCCTAAACACAACCTATGGAGTTAGGCAAATAGGTCAAAGGAGTGAAGTAGGAGACCCGTAAAGCAGCAAGAATTAAAACCAGAAGTACCTGCCCTACGAAAGGGCAAAGCTACTAGTTACAGGAATGCTGGCCGAGTGCTGCTAGATATGCCGATCTTTTCAAGGGGCCAGAATCCAGATTCCATGTAAAATTTCCAGATTTTAAAAAACCTCATGTGGGACTTCCCTGGTGGTCCAGTGGGTAAGACTCCGCCCTCCCAATGCAGGGGGCCCAGGTTGGACCCCTGGTCAGGGAACTAGATCCTGCATGCATGCCGCAACTAAGAGTTCACATGCCCCCCACATGCCGCAACTAAGAAGTCCGCATGCTGCAACTAAAGATCCCGCATGCCACAACGAAGATCCTGCATGCCTCAACTAAGACCCAGTGCAGCCAAAATAAATTTTTAAAAATACATGATAAAAATAAATAAATACTTTTTAAAATAAAATTTAAAAAAATAAAAACATCATGTGGATCTTTGTTCCAACTGTTCCAAATTAGTGAGGTCTTATTACATATCAATTTAATCCATGGTGCATTTAATAGCTAATGAAGTGGAAAATATTGATTATGGTTTAAATTTTCAATGTTCAACATTAAATATGATTTTAGAAATAAACTTCTATCCCAGGTACAATAATCTTATATCAATATATAAAAAGTTATCTAAATAAATTTCTATCCCATGCATAACAATCTTATATATATTAATATGTAATCATCTTATATTAATATCTAATAATTTCAGTCTTAATGCTGCCAAACTTTTTCTTACAAGTCAAAGAGGAATGGACAGAGTTTTACTTTGCAATTTTAATAGAATGAAAAATGTATTACAGAAAACGATTTTTCATTTGTTGTAGCAGTTTGACAGTGCACATGGGTGAGAACCCAAAAACATTCATACCACCAATGAACGTGCCAGCCCCACAAAATTAGCTAATTTTCATGGATGCAAAAATACTTTTAAATATTTGCCATTGTTCACAATTTAGTGGTATCTACGTTAAAAGTGTGGTCTCTAACTAGGTTTCATCAATGGCTCTAGTTAAGTTCACCTTGATTTCACAGGTGGTCTTGGTATGGCCCCCGCGGAAACCAGCTACATAAATCTGGGGCCGGGGCACTTGGCTGCTGGCTTCCCTCATTGACTGTGTGCTAGCATCCTTTGAAGGGTACACCTGGGAACAATTTTCTCTTCTCATGTGACTAAGATCAGTCTGTACCGAGTGAGTAACTTTCCGACGCAAATTGGCCTAAGTAGAAAGAGAATACACAGGAATGAACATTTCTCTAAAGAACAAATAAAATACTGTCAGGTACCAGTTAGTATCGGCCTTTTTTTTTTCATCTCAATCCACAAAGAAATTAGTCCTGCAACATAGCATGTTTCTGCAAAACATTAAAACACTGGAAAATTTAGAACATAACAGAAAATAAATACCCTTGGCTGAGAAGTAGGAAAATAGATTAAATAATGAAAATGGACCCAAAGAGAGAACACACAGATTCAAACCTACAGTGAGCTCAATTCTTTGTTAATATAATAATTCATTCATTATTATACTTTGAGAGTCATATAACTTGGATTTTCCCACCATTCTTGGCTTATTGTTTTAAAAGACAACAATTTAAGATTTCCATTGTCTTACCTAAATGGGCTTCACCCAAAACTTCTAATATAAAAAGCTCTGATGTTTCCAGATAATACTTTACATTTTTCTACATTATGCTTACTCCTTTTATGGATTACAACTAAACATGAGATTAAACAGTTTGCTCAGGCTGGGAAGCAAGGAGGAGTTTATAAAAAAAGAGAATAAGAGTTTTATTGAAGTTGTGGTAAAATCCAAGGAAAAAACTCAGAAGGGATTACAGCATGTGAGTTAAGAAGGAAAGACCTGGAATTAGAGGAAACATTTCAGCGTTTGAGACACTGCAGGTGACTGAGAACCAAAACTACTTCTCCCACACACAGCTTATCGTCTACATTAACAGGACTTTGCTATTCCTTTGTCTTCACTAGCATAATTTTATTATTCCAAGAGACTCTTGCCAAAGCAAATAACTTGATTGTTCATTACAGAACATGATGCATGTTCTGAAAGATGCATGACTCTTCAGTGGTAAGCATTAACACACAGAAGAAGCCCTAAGACTCTGCATCCCTTGCCTGAAGATTCACCTTGCTATTCCCATCAACCCTGGACTGCTTTTTCATAATCTTTACAACCCAATTCAGGCCCCCAACACATCCCCTGACTGAGCCCAGGCATCAAAAGACCTGCCTTCAACCAAACTTCAAAGTCTCAATAAATCCTGACCTTGCTGTTCCCCCTCTGAGACATTGCAAAGCTCTGCTGAAGGGGTGGTTTCCGTTACAGCTCTGAGCCATATACTCAGCTTTGTCTTATCAACAGGTCATGTTGGTAATACATGGGGAGCTGGCATTCAACATGCTGCAATTCTAGGGGATAATTCCATCTAAGGTGGGAAGAAGAATGAAGTCAAGGAGTGAGAAGACAGGGGGGGGTCCAGTCAGTATGAGGTTCAGCCCCATTGAACACCGCATTCTCTTAACATTTCCAGGCCAGAGCTAATCTGCCACCTATACCTCCCATATCCTGTCCAACCATCACTCCTCTCTTCTCCTTTGTCTATGTGTATCTCAAGACCAACTTAAAATGTCACCTAAGTCAATGGAGTAGAATTTTTATTTCACTTCTGTTATACCACTTACCAAGAGATACTAAAATATTTTTAGTGTATCAATGTCACTTGCTAGACTATTAGTTCCTGAAGAACAAGGTGGTAGGATATATATATACGTTACCCAGTATACATCTGATGAGCTCAAGTGAGTCTAGTATTGATAGATAACAGAAAAGAATGCAGGGAATGGGAGCTTCAGGAACTACAGAAGAGTAAATGGTAAGAATGCTAATGGAACAATGATCCGGAACAGGGGTCCCCAACCCCTGGGCCGAGGACCAGTACCGGTCCGCAGCCTGTTAGGACCCGGGCCGCACAGCAGGAGGTGAGCGGCAGGCAAGCGAACGAAGCTTCATCTGCTGCCCCCCATCGCCCCCATCGCTCCCCATCGCCCCCCATCGTCCCCTATCCCTCCCCATCGCCCCCATCGCTCCCCATCGTCCCCATCGCTCCCCATCGCCCCCCATCGCTCCCCATCGCCCCCATCGCTCCCCATTGCCCCCATCTCCCCCATCGCCCCCGTCGCTCCCCATCCCTCCCCATCGCCCCCATCGCTCCCCATCGCTCCCATCGCCCCCATCGCTCCCATCACCGCCTGAGCCATCCCCCACGTCCCCCGTGGAAAAACTGTCTTCCACGAAACTGGTCCCTGGTGCCAAAAAGGTTGGGGACCGCTGATCTGGAAAATATTCCAGGAAGCTGAACCTTCCTCATCTTGAGAAATCAGGGGACTGAAAAGCTGCCACCAGAGAGGGTGGCAAGGGAAATGATGTGGTTAGTGAAAGGAGAGACTGAATATACAAACGGACCTAGGCTGGACCTTATATGATAACAGAACTCGAACCCAAACCTCTGCAGCAACCAGTCTTGGAAGCCAAACCACAACCTCGGTAGCTGTAGCAATCAGCTCAGAAGAGCAGAACAGCCCTATTTTTTTTTTTTTTTCCTGCTGTCTCCCCTTCCATCTCTGGACCAACTAGAGAAAGCCAAATATGCTCACTAAACCAATCACAAAAGATACCCCCCCATTGCCCGCTGCTAGTTAGCCCGCCTCCAGTTTCCCCTGTCAACATCCTCCAATCAGAGGAATACCTGAAGCCTTCCCCTTTTTCACTATAAAACTTTCTCACTCCTCTCCCCAACTTTGAGTCTCCGCCAAACACAAGTGATGGTGACTGGCTCCCTTGATATAGCAAGCTTCGAATAAATAGCCTCTGTTCTCATTTGAGTAGTCTTCCTTTATTTCCACACCTGATTTCCGTTAAAGAGCTGGATAAAATACACTGAGAAAAGGCTACAGTTATAAAAAGAGTTTGTTCCTTCACACTATAAATATTTGTTGTTTAAAATGACCAGATACTATCAAAAGGAAGAGTGGGGGGAATTCCACTGAGTCAGATAGGGATGAGAGTTTCAAAGAAGGCTTCAAGGGTAGGTACCTACTGTGATTAAGATGACTGCGAATCAGAAGGACAAGTGAGACGTCTGGAGAGAACAAGTTGACAATAAGAGGGGACTGTATCTGTGCTATAACAGCAGTAACATTCTGCTCCTCAAAAAAAAGTCGAAGAAAGAGAAGGGTATGCTTTAAATGATTAGAGGAAGCTGCAGGGCTTTAAATACTAGCACCTTATAGGTTAGCACAATTAATTTAAACTATTATATACATCAGTAGAGAGACAGAGTAGAGATTGAGAAAAGGAGATAGAGAGAAAGATAGCAACTATCATTGTTCTAGTTACTGGCTGATATAATTTGAGAGCAGTTTCATGCTTCTGTATTTCTATATATGCTTAAAACTAGAAGATAGGGACTTCCCTGGTGGCGCAGTGGTTAAGAATCCACCTGCCAATGCAGGAGACACGGGTTCGATCCCTGGTCCGGAAAGATTCCTACATGTCTCGGAGCAACTAAGCCCGTGCGCCACAACTACTGAGCCCACGTGCCACAACTACTGAGTCCGTGTGCCCCAACTACTGAAGCCCGCATGCCTAGAGACCGTGCTCCGCAACAGGAGAAGCCACCACAATGAGAAGCCCTCGCACTGTAACAAAGAGTGGGCCCCACTCACTGCAACTAGAGAAAGCCCACACGCAGCAACAAAGACCAAATGCAGCCAAAAATAAATAAATAAACTAATTAAAAAAAAACCTAGAAGATAATCTTACAATGTAAAGCTGGAAAATTATAAATTATACTAATTATTTTTATTTTAGCAAAAACAGCTGTGTACAACTCATTATTTTATATAAATAATTTAGCTTACCAACTCTATGAGTAACAACATATTAAAATTCCCCAACCTATAAATAATTTTAGAAAATATTGTTACAAACCAATTTTATAGCTTTTCTTCTTAATTCCCATTCATTCCACTCATATGATCTCACAATTGTTGGTGGCAATAAATGTGTATCCGTCTGTGTGCTACTTTCACACTTTGCAATTGGTTTTATATAATGTTTGTCAACCTCTTTCATCTAAAGAAGTGGAGTTTTGTAATTAATATTTGTAAAAAATAAACATTATTTATAGATAACTGAAATATTTAGCTAAAATTGACAAAATATTAGGAAAACAACATGAAACATACTTGTAAATACCAGCAAAATTTAAAAAGTTCATAATTAGCGAGCCAAATGTAATTACTTTCCCAGGCATTATGAATTTGTGCCTGATTTTTTGAACTTAATGTAAGAGGTGTATTTTGGAAGGAGAAAACCTAACATCACTCATCCCAAGTCAAATGTCCCTCTCCAATGTTCACAGTGGGGAGCATAAGTGAATACCTTATTGGAAATGGACAGAAGTTTAGGATAGCTATTAAAGATTAGGTATACATCACATTTGTTTAAAGTATCAGAACATCTTTAGAAGATATCTTAAACTCAAGCTCTGCATACACAGCAGATTATTATCTCTTTTAGTGGAATATATTCATCTTTCTGCCGAAGCACCCAGAAGCTCACTATTAAAATATTAAGTATTCAGTGATTCCAGGTGAAACAAGTTATGATTATGCTGGAAATGAAGTTGCTGGAGCGGGTGGCAGAGGGTTAAGAAACTCAAGTCCTAGTAAAGAGGAGGCGGAAGAGATGAACTTCTTTCCCCAAATCAAGAAACAGATGATTACTGAACGCCTACCATTGAGCGTAAGATATAATTTTTGCCTTCAAAATGATCTTATGATATACTTAGGTAAGTAAAAAGATGCTGAAAAGATAATTTACAGTATTATGCAAGTAAATGGCAAGAAAAAATAATGAATACAGCATTGAAATATGAAGAAAGAATACTCACTTCCATAGGTATTAAAGGTCAGTGAAGGATTAAATACACAGGATTAAGTACACAGAAAGGGAAAAACAAGACCAGATATGTAGAGGAAAACTGTTCTTTAACAGACAAGTATCTACATACAGCACACCTCCCTGGTTATCTGCTTCTAGCCTTTCATTGTCTTTGTGCTATCTTAAAAGGGCAGCTGGAGCATCACATCAACAGACTGTCAGCGTGGTATGAGAACAAGAGTGCCAACAGCTGCCCCCTTCTGACCTAGTTGTCCTTGGCTGGATGTCAGTCTTCTTGCCCAAGTGTTCAGACCATCCTCTGTTCCTCACTGTCACCAGCCCCATCATCCTCTTACCAGTCACTGCTGGGATCCCTGCCAACCTGGTCAGTCGTATCCACACCCACCTGCTTCACTGTCAAAATGTTGATAAATATTACAAACACAAACCATTTATAAACCATGTATTGCGGGGTTTTAGTTTAGTGAGTTTAAAAGAGGTAAATTAAACAAGAGAGGATGACAGAAAGAGCAATTAAAATGTGAACAGTACAAATGAGAGACAAAGAGGAAGAAAACAAGGATACACAGTGGTAGAATGTGAGCCCCGTGCAGGCAGGGATTGCTACCTGCTTTGTTCACTGTGCCCAGAATCATGCCTGGTGCACAGCAAGCGGCTCAGTAAGTGTCTGCTGAATGAATTAAGGAATCGGCACACACACACACACAGAAACACACCTTCAGATCCATTTTGTGGCCTTTCAGACTACTGCAATTTAAACCTGTTAAATTATTTTACAGTTCTGAGCCTAAGTTACCACCTATGTTATCTGTGCTAAGCTCCTTCCATTTTAGATAAGGAAATACTGTAGTTCCAATTATTTATCTAAATGTAGTCTTGCTCTCTCAGATTTTTCCAGTCTAATTCATCAGTTTAACTCCTTGTCCTGTTTTCATTTATTCTTTGTGGATTTCCTTAGTTTCCATTTTCAGATGTGAACCCCTTTCAGATAACCTGTAAAGGCCCTCATTCTGACCCTGTCTCTTGCCTGGACTTGGGGGACCATTCTACAGCAAAACGTAACTTTTTTTTATTAACTACACTTTTAAATGTCATGAATTCTTAAAATGCCAACCCTGCTTACCTGAGAATTTGGAATAAGGGTTTCAAACTGTTGATGAAGTTCCAGTAGCTGAATCAATTCTGCATTTTTTTTGGCTTTTTCTCTAATTTTATCAATGTAATTTTCAGGATTTTCTGCAAATGAATATGCAGCATCTCTGGTATTGAAAGTGTAATACTTTTCTTTATATTTCAAAATTCCAATTGCTGGATTTCCTGAAAATTAAGAAAAGGAATTGAATTCGATATGAAATACTGAGACTTCCCTGGTGGCGCAGTGGATAAGACTCTGTGCTCCCAATGCAGGGGGCCTGGGTTTGGTCCCTGGTTGGGGAACTAGATCCCGCATGCATGCCACAACTAAGAGTTTGCATGCCAAAACTAAGGAGCCCTGGAGCCGCAACTAAGGAGCCCACCTGCCGCAACTAAGACCTGGTGCAACCAAATAAATAAATAAATAAATATATTGTTAAAAAAAGATATGAAATACTGATTCTATGTTTATAATACATTCATAGAACCATTCCCTATACACTCTATTTTTAACATATCACTTATGTCTTTATTAGCTAAAATGTTACAACTAGCAATTTTAAGTTATATTTTGTTAAATTATATTTTACATAAAATTCAAATGAAATTTATTTTATACATTTTTAATTATTTTATTTTATTTTTTGGCCACACCATGCAGCATGCAGGATCTTACTTCCCCGACCAGGGATCAAACCTGTGCCCCCTGCACTGGGAGCATGGAATCTTAACCACTGGACCACCAGGAAATCCCATATTTTTAAATTTTAAATTATGATTTTGTCTAAAAATATTTCACTATCCAGATATAAGTTGTTTAAAAATCTTTTATGAGAAGCCACTTAATCATCTAGCAGGTTTTTCAAATCTCCTTAAACTAAACTAACTACTAGAAGCACAGTTTTTAAAATAATTCTGTAAGAACTATAAAAATGAAACATCTGTTCCAAAATTTACATTTGCATGTTAGAAAGTATTTCCCACTATGAAAAGATACTACATAAAATATGGGTTATAAGTATCCACAGTTTGTGGGAATTATATAGGAAACAGTAACACTATCTTATTTATTTATTCTTTCACTTATTCAACGAATATTTACTGACCCTGTTCTTGGCACTGAGGATACAGAGAAAAGAAATGAATCAATATACCATAGCCCAGAGAGTGATCAGTGCTACAGAAAACAAGTAAGCAAAGCAGGTTAAACACATAGTAAAAGGAAGAAGGGCGAGATTGACATTTTAAGTTGGGTGATCAGAGAAGGCTGAATAAGATGAGGGAGCAAGATATGTAGCTGTGGGGGAATAGAGCTGTCCAAGTAGAGGGAATAGCAAGTGCAAAAGATTCGAGGTGAAAATGAGCTCGGAATGTTCGAGAACAGCAAGAAGGCCAGTGGGGCTAGAGCAGCGCACAGGGGAACAGAGAGGTGAGCAGTAAAGTCAGTGATGTCATCTGAAAAGGACCCTGCCTGGTAAGCCCCAGCATTACCCGGGGACTCAAGCCCTGTGGCCTGCAGTTCTGAGGAAGGAGGGACTCTCATGGGATTCCTCCGAGGCAGTGCAGGTGGCTGGTGCCCAGGAAATATTGTAGCACGTAGAAATAAAGTCTCCAGACTAGCTGATTCTGAGAGGATTCTAAACGCAAAGCCCCTCAAGCCCTTCTACTTTTTTTCTCTTTCTCCCCCGTTCTTAGAATCATAGTTGGTAGGAGCTGGAAGGGACCAAACAGACCTCCTAGTTGGTCCTTCTTTTCCTGACGTGGAAGCTGAGGTCCACAAAAGACAAGAGATTTGCTGAAAGTTACTCTGTTTACTAATGGAACAACGGGGACTAGAACCCAGGCTCTCCCAGGACTTCCCTGGTGGTCCAGCAGTTCAGACTCCGCACTCCCAGTGCAGGGCGCCCGGGCATCCCTGGCCAGGGAACTAGATCCTACATGTGTGCTGCAACTAAGAGTTCGCATGCGCAACTAAGAAGTCCACATGCCACAACGAAAAAAAAAAGATTCCGCATGCCGCAACTAAGACCCAGCACAGCCAAAAATAAACAATAAATAAATATTAAAAAAGAAAAATAAACCAGGCTCTCCCAATCTTGGCCCATAGCTTTTCCAACCACATCATGCTACCTCTGTGTCACCCCACATCCATGTTTCTGTGTTTGTGTCTCTCATGACTCCCTTCCCTTCTTATTTGTGGAGGCAGAGAGAGAGAGATTTGGGGTGGGGGGGAGCGAAGGGAAGGAAAAAAAAGAGAAGGGGAGAAAGAAATCATCTCCATTCTATTGCTTTTTACTTCTTCACAACTCTTGATTGTTTTCTCCTGTCAGTGACCCTCACAGGACCTCAGAATACTATTCTCTCAGTTCTCCCAAGGTAAACCTTTTATTACTCGCATAATGAAAAAATCTCTACCATAAAAAAAAAAATGAGTCAATGTGTATGTTCTCTAGCCTGTATACACACAATCCCAATAATTCTTTGTAATAATTCTATTACCAATTCACATGGTACTTTTTGGATAATAATTTATTTCATCTCAATTTCTGATTTACTCTTTAGAGAAGTTCTAGTAATATATACATCATAAAAAATTGTACTTGATAAAATACTGGCCATGTCCTTATACAGAAATCCTGATCTATGTTAACGGAATATAACCATAAAGTGACAAAGAATATTGTTTTTTTTTTTTTTTTTTTTTTTTTACCAGGTTGAGGAATTTCCCCATCTACTCCTAGTTTGTTCATGGCTTTTACCATGAATAATTGTTAAGAATATTGTTTAATAAACATATCAGTCAAATTGTTGCGCTTTCAAGTAATCACTTTGGAAGATGATCTATTTTAGGAATGCCACATAACACTTCTGAAATCCTTCATCGACATATGAGTCATCCCCCTTTTATGATGCTGTAGCATCCATATTTCATTATATACACATTCCATCACTTATCGCTTGTATTGTAATTTCTTGTTTATGTCAGTCTATCGGGTTATGCTGCGAGCACTTCAAAGATAAATATTGCATTTAGGTCATCTTTGTAGCTCCTTTCCTAGTTCACCATTAGAGTCCATAAAATTTTACAAAGTGAGTGAGTGAGTGACAATGAGGACACATCATTTAAAGAAAAAATTGGAGAAGGGAGGACAGTATTATTTCCAATGATATACCTGGAAGAAGAAGACCATCTGTTGTAGCAAATGTGTAAGCACAAAATCCTCGATACTGAATCAACAATTTATCAAAATTGGCTGTTGTTTCTGGGAAAAGCCATTCTAGTTTTCTGAAATCCACCAGATTTACTCTCTCTTCTAAAATGAAAAGGAGCACAAGAAAAAACATATTCAGTGGGAAGAGTAAACCACCCAGGAAACGAGCAGAAGAGACCGGCTACTATGTGACTAAAACAGAGATGAATTAACTTCGTTCAAGACAGTGTAGCTCTTAATAATAGGCGAGGTGGCCAAATACTTTGAATATGATGCTTATATACTAGGACTGTCAGTTCTTTAAACAACTGAGAATGTTCTGAGCAGAAAGAGTCAAGGAAACATCTCTTAGTAACTTAGTAATTTTGGTAACAGAGGATATACTTTTCTATTCTTCACACTTCTAAAAAGTCTTCCTAGTTTTGCCGATTTTTTTTACGCAAATAAAAACGCGAATTAATAAAACATTGATCCCCGAGGTTCTTACTTTTGCAGTGCTACCTACACTTCTGTTTCTGGCTCTGTATCCAAACAGCAGATGCTACAAGTGACCCCGTGGCTACAGCTGGAAGTAAATGCATACTTTGGAGAAAACAGACCTTCTTCACTCTTTTTTCCTGATATGCCTGAACGCCTCAAACGGTGATGAGATGTGGTGAGGATAGCTAGTGGGAAGCAGCCACATAGCACAGGGAGATCAGCTCGGGGCTTTGTGACCGCCTGGAGGGGTGGGATAGGGAGGGTGGGAGGGAGGGAGACGCAAGAGGGAAGAGATATGGGAACATATGTATAACTGATTCACTTTGTTATAAAGCAGAAACAAACACACCATTGTAAAGCAATTGTACTCCAATAAAGATGTAAAAAAAAAAAAAAAAGAACATTGGGTCTCCCAATTCCCTGGAGCAGTAACTTGATAAACTGTGTTCTAGTGAATAAAAACGTTTGACTTATAGTAGGAAATGGCACGTCTTGCCAATATAGTTGAGTTTAATACCTACTGCTGTAGTGACTTTAATTTTTCAGTTTCATTTAGTATTTGCACAGATATGCTGTTTTAACAAAATGAAAAAAGTAGGAAAAACTAACTGGAAGGATGTTTTTGAGTCTCTCTGATTTCATTTTCAGATTTTATGTATTCTAATAATTTAAGAATGCAAATTACCACTACATTTTTTTTTCACATCTTTATTGGGGTATAATTGCTTTACTAAGTTGTGTTTGTTTCTGCTGTACAACAAATTGAATCAGCTATATGTATACATATATCCCCATATCCTCTCCCTCTTGCATCTCCCTCCCACCTTCCCTATCCCACCCCTCTAGGTGGTCACAAAGCACCGAGCTGATCTCCCTGTGCTATGCAGCTGCTTCCCACTAGCTATCTATTTTACATTTGGTAGTGTATATATGTCCATGCCATTCTCTCACTTCGTCCCAGCTTCCCCCTCCCCCTCCCCCCATCCCCATGTCCTCAAGTCCGTTCTCTACATCTGCGTCTTTATTCCTGCCCTGCCACTAGGTTATTTTTTGCCTTTACACAACCAGAATGTGAAAAGGAAATTTGAAGAGTCAATGATCTAATTTCACTTTCAGGATAAACTTTCTTTTTAGGCAACAATTCAAATCCCAGACTCTATTTTGATATTTCTCATGAATTTTGAGTTGTCTTTAATAAGACAGCAGGGACTAAACAAGTAAAAGGAAGTTTATTGATAAAAACAGCCTTTCTATAAGAATCAATGCATCTCTTAAAGGCCCTAAAATAAGCTCAATTTTATAGGGATAACATTTATTGATTTATAAATTTCAACCTGAATCTGGGGTACATACATGGCAAATAGCATTCCAAAGACATGGAGCTTTGTTTGCAACAAATATAGCAAGGATTAATATCCTTTTCTACTACAAACCGATAATAAAACCACTAAGACTACAATAGAAACCTATAAGCACAGGAAATCATTGTTAACCAAAACACTAACAATAACACTAGGAATGGTTATTGCTGGATAGCAAACTCTTCAGTTTATATATTTTCTGTTTTCCATATTCTCTATAATGAACATTAGCAGTCTTACAATCAAGAAAGATATTCAAAACTTTATCAGAAAGATACACCTGAAAATTTTAAAACAAAAGAGTGAGTTTATTCTAGAGGTAATTTTAAGAGGAAGAGGAAATAATGCATGATTTCTGTTACCCATGTGCTCTTTCATTCTACACGCATCAGTTTTCACAGTCACTCCATCAAGAAGAGCTTGCATCACTTTCTCAGGAAAGAACAGTTCATGAGTCCCCAGAAATGGCTCAAGATGAGTAGATAAATTACTGAGGATGCTAATCAAAACAGCTTCATCCTGAAAGCTAGTCCACAGATTGGAAAGGGCAATGAAGATGGGCTGAGGAAGAGACAAAAACTTTCAAAATGTCACTGTTTAATAAAATTACAAATCACTCTACTCTTAAAAATAAGTACAAATTTTTGTTTGTAAAGAGATTAATTCTCCCGTAAGACAAGTAAAAGTCTCATGAAATTAGATGACAGAATCTCAGTAGAAATTGGACTCATAAATTATGAGAAAATAAACTTGTATATCAAAGCATTTTATTTTGGTATGATTGCCAGTAATAGTTTACTCAAAAAAGCCAAATACACATGATCACCTAAAAAACATTCATGGACGCTTCACCTCAAAAGGTCTAGGGGAAAACAGCTTCTTTTTTTAAAAAAAGCTAAATATGACTCATTATAATTAGATTTATCTGGCTCAGTTACAATTCAAAAGAACTTGGAAAGTCTAGGGATACATCTTGGGCCATTTCTTTTTTTTTTTTTTTTTTTGGGCCATTTCTTGTGAGCTTATAAGTTAAAGATTTTGTGTCAGTGACATAAAGTATTTTTTATTCATATTAAAGGTCACTGACTTACACAAGAAATAAAAAATTAATCAGGCCCTGGCCCTACTTATAAGTGAAACAACTTAGCCTTTTGTTTCCAGGCTTTTAAAGTCAAATGTTGGGAATGATTACAGAAAATGATCAGAGACTCAAAATGCTCTATAAAATACTGCACGTACATCTTGTACTTCTTTGGGGCTCCCAGATTTGCCCATAGGGTGGTACAGATAATCAGACAGTCAGAATAAGTGCAGGCCTGGTAAACAAAGTGATTTTATCTGTCTTTTCAGAAAGGTCACAAGTTACATCACCTCTGTGCTGAAGGCAATTTCTTAACCAGCTACTGTAAAAACATTTTCAACACTGCACTGTGGATTATTTTTGCTGCCACAGATAATACTGTTATTATGGTTATTATAATATATATCTGCACTCCGCTGAGTAGCAATGGCCTACCAAGGGAATCCAACTTATAACATCCTGGTTATATGATTATTACTACAAAATAACCAAAAACAACAGGATCACCTCATATAAAGCTAATATTATATTTTTAGTAATTAAATAAAATTAAAATTACTTCTGATCCAACTTTATAGGACTTAAAAGTACATTCACTTTTAAACAAGGTCAAAGTGGATAACAAATGCTTACAAAGACTTGTGATGTTGGGACAGCCGTCTTTGATTTTACAGTAAATTGTAATTGTTCCAGTTGGGCTCCTAACTGCTTTATCATCATTTCCACTTCTTGAGCACAAGTAATTATATCCGACTGTGAAGACAACATAATTGGCATTCATTATTTTTATAATTTTACTACAAACATTATGTATGTTTTAAGCCCTACCTGCTCCCCACATCTCCTGAAAGTAAGCTCAGTAAGAGCAAGGATTCTGCTCTCCATGGTATCCCCAACACGAAGAACAGAACTGGCACGTGGATGGCACTCCAGAAACATTTGTTGAATGGATGAATCTTTTGAAATACAATGGCTATAATTTTTCTCAAATGTATACAGGTATTCTTCGATATTCAGTATAATTGCATTCCCGAGCAGTGGATCCTCTAACACAGTTTTCTAGAACTGTTATTTTCCCATTCCTCAAAGATAAAATTCATGAGGTATTCCTTTGAAAACTACTTTGATACCCAGATTTTTAAAAATTGCTTTCAAGAATGCAGAAAATGTTAAAAATCACAGCATTGAAAGAAAAACAATATATTTCTCATACAACCATAGCAATCTGAAAATAAGGTGCTAAATGCTGAATCTGAAATAATTACTAACATTTATTCTTATTATGTGCTAAGCACCATATTAAATACTTGTTAAGTACAAAAAGAGGTAAGTACAAATAAGAAAACCAAGGTACAGAAAGGTAAGTAAATTGCCCAAGAATACACAGCTAATGAGGGGCAGAATCATGGTTCTACACCAGATCGTCTGAGCCCAGGGCTCTTATCCTAAGATGTGACCAGAAATGGCAGTGGTATGGGGTTATTAGCACAGTGTTAAAGAGTAACAATTACGTGAAGAGAAAAAAACTGCATTTGAATTCTCAGATATCTGTAACCTAACTATATGTTTTACTAGACTATTTTTAAATGACAAAAAATTATTACTTCATAAGAAATATCAGATATCATCATTGTATTTCAACTAATGAATTTTTTTATTCACAATGTAATGTGCATCCTGTTTCAATTTTACCCATACTACTCTAAGCATCTCCCCTCCTCTTGCCTCATTCTCCCATTATTTCTTTAAAATAAAATTTATAATAATAATTTACATATTGTTTATCCTATCTAATAAGTCCCTTCTCTGCCCCTCAGAGTTTTTCCCCTTGATTGCTAGTTTTCTTTTAGGAATCAAATATGAAAATGCAGTCCTTAAAGTCTTTAGATTTGTACACAATCAACAAGAAACAGAAATAATTCTGCATATGTTCTCCAAAGTAAAAGTTACATTCAATACATAACACTTCTTTCAAAACTATAAGTAAAGATACTCCAGACCTACTCCCCTAAGCTATGCTTGCAGGCTCCATTCACAGATTAGGCACACAGAACTTCTTGATTTTTCCTGATAGTGTCCTAGAACAATCCCTGTTTACATTTTACCAAAAAGAACTTTCCAACTAAAAATTCTACATGGACATTTTTCCAAAGAAGACATACAGAAGGCCAACACGTACACAAAAAATTGCTCAGCATCTCTAATCATCAGGAAAATGCAAATCAAAACCACAATGAGATATCACTTCGCATCTGACAGAATGGCTACTATCAAAATGACGAGAAATAACAGGCGTTGGCAAAGATGTGGGGATAAAAAGGGAACACACGTGCACTGTTGGTGGGAATGTAACTTTGGTGCTGCCACTATGGAAAAAGTAGGGAGGTTCCTCAAAAAATTAAAAACAGAACCACCACATCACCCAACAATTCCGTTTCTGGGCATGTGTCTGAAGGAAACAAAAACACTAACTCAAGAAGATATATGTGCCCCCATGTTCACTGCAGCATTATTTACAAGGAGTCCTGCCATTTGCAGCAACAACAGTGAAACTTGAAGGAATTTTACTAAGTGAAGTAAGTCAGACAAAGACAAATATCATATGATCTCACTTATATGTGGAACCTTTCTTAAAATTTTTATTTATTCTTTTTTTAAAGATTTATTATTTATTTATTTATTTATTTTTGGCTGCATCAGGTCTTAGTTGCGGCACGTGGGGTCTTCGCTGAGGCACGTGGGATCTTTTGTTGTGGCGTGCAGTCTTCTCTCTTCTAATTGTGGCGTGAGGGTTTTCTCTTCTCTAGTTGTGGCACGCGGGCTGGGAGGGTGGGCTCTGTAGTTGTGGTGTGCGGGCTCCAGGGCGTGGGGGCTCTGTCGTTTGTGGCACACGGGCTGTCTAGTCAAGGCGCACAGGCTCAGTAGTTGTGGCATGGGGGCCTCAGTTGCTCTGTGACATGTGGGATCTTAGTTCCCTGACCAGGGATCGAACCCGTGTCCCCTGCATTGCAAGGCGGATTCTTTACCACTGGACCACCAGGGAAGTCTCTGGAATCTTTTTTTTTAATTGAAGTACAGTTGATTTACAATGTTGTGTTAGTTTCTGATGTATAGCAAAGTGATTCAGTCATACATATAAAAGTTTTTCAGGTTCTTTTCCATTATAGGTTATTACAAGGTATTGAATATAATTCCCCGTGCTATACACAACAGGACCTTACTGCTATATGTGGAAACTTAAAAAAAACAAAACTGAGCTCATAGGGCTCCCCTGGTGGCGCAGTGGTTGAGAATCTGCCTGCCAATGCAGGGACATGGGTTTGAGCCCTGGTCTGGGAGGATCCCACATGCCGCGGAGCAACTAGGCCCGTGAGCCACAACTACTGAGCCTGCACGTCTGGAGCTTGTGCTCCACAACAAGAGAGGCCACGACAGTGAGAGGCCCGCGCACCGCGATGAAGAGTGGCCCCTGCTTGCCGCAACTAGAGAAAGCCCTTGCACAGAAACGAAGACCCAACACAGCCAAAAATAAAATAAATAAACAAAAATTTAAAAAATAATAACTGAGCTCATAGATACAGAGAACAGATTGGTAGTTGCCACAGGTAGGGGAGGGGGATGGGAGTGGGCAAAATGGGTGAAGGTGGTCAAAAGGTACAAACTTCCACTTATAAGACACATAAGCCGTGGGGATGTAATGTACAGCATGGTGACTATCACTGGTTAACAATACTGTATTGTACAACTGAAAGTTGGTAAGAGAGTAGATCTTAACAGTTCTCATCACAAGGGAAAAAAATGTAACGATATGTGGCGAAGAATTTAACTAGATTTATTGTGGCCATCATTTTGTAATATATACATATATGGAATCATTATGCTATACATCTGAAACTAATATAATTTTGCATGTCAACTGCATCTCAATAAAAAAGCTAGTTTCACTTAGCACTATCCTTGATGACACAGTAAAATGTATTAATTTGACTGAATTTTGACCTTTAAGTGCACAGCTTTTTAATAATCAGTGTGATCAAACAGCAAGTATATATAGAACACTTCTATTGCATATTAAAACACATAGTTCTCTTACATGACTGGATTGCAAGCTGAAATAGCCTTTTTTCCCCTCCAGTAGAACAGCATTTTTACTTGAAAGAACTGGCAGACAAACTATGGTTTTTGAGCCTTAGCTATTGGAAGATATTTTCTTGAGAGTGAATGAAATGAGTCTGTCACTTCAGGAAAACGATAGTTTTTGTTACCAATGATAAAATTCACATCTTGAAAAGCCTGTATCTGCCACCACGAACTTGACAGCATCCTAACACAAAGATATTTCTAATGAGATTGTTGGAGAAAAAAAATAAGAATAAAGTCGCTTCAACTTTCTTATCATAATGCAGTCCAAAAAATGCTTGGAGAAAGCATGTGAACCTAGCATTCTTCTTCCTCTCCCTCACTTTTTAATTTATAAGTTTTTCATACTTTCTTCCATGGACATTTTTCAACAAGTCTAAAACAAGCACAAATTCCACCTAACTGATATCTTACTTAAATTATCAGAAAAATCAAGAAGTCCTGTATAATCTATGCCATGAAAGGGCCCTGCAGACAGAGCTTGGGGGGAGGAAGTGTACGAAAGTCTTGACTTACATATTTTAAGAAATGTTGTGTGTCAGGCGACATTTACTTGCACGATAACAATAAGTGGTTTTCTCTCTGTGGTGACTGCCCTGCTCTTCAAAAGCCCACAGAGGATGGAATTCTGTTCTCTCAGCTAAGGCAGTCAACAAGACTGCAATCACCCCTTCCTTTTCTCTTCCAGAGTGTTTGATTTGTTCACTGCAGCAGATAAAGTCCTGATCAAAAAACAATAACTCACTATCTTACCCAAACTATAACTGGATTTTTCAAATGTCTACGTAAACTGAATGTAGCATTGGCAAAAGAAAAATTTTGCATCAAAATCAATGCTTCCAAAAAGCATATTGATATCTGTTCAAATAATGTGACTTTAAAAAAGAGTATTCATAGATTTCATACCCAGGAAAAGGTTTCAGCTAGACATAAACTGACGTATTTTATAACCTAGTGATAATACTGATTAAACTGTATCCATTCTGTAACAATTAACCTTAACTGTTAACTAAGGTAGATTGATGGGGGAGGTTGGATAGCTAAAAACTATCATATCCTTGTCAGCCATAAAAAAGAATGAAATTTTGCCATCTGTAACAGCATGGATGGACTTAGAAGGTATCATGCTTAGTGAAATAAGTCAGACAGAGAAAGACAAGTACTGTATGTTGCCACTTATACGCGGAATCTACAAAATAAAACAAAGTAGTGAATATTAAAAAAAGAAGCAGACTCACAGATATAGAGAAAAAATGAGTGGTTACCATTGGAAAGAGGGGAGGGGGGAAGGGCATGATAAGCGTAGGGGATTAAGAGGTACAAACTACTATGTATAAAATAAATAAACTACAAGGATATATTGTACAGCACAGGGAACGTAGACAATATTCTATAATAACTATAAATGAAGTATAATCTATAAAATTTTGAATGACTACGTCGTACACCTGAAACTAATACAACATTGTAAATCAAGTATATCTCAACAAAAACAACAACAACAAAAAGAAACACTGATTAACCAGCAAAAAAGTCAGAAGGTTAAGAAAACTCATCCTGACCCTGACTGAAAGGAGTATGAGACAGTCATAAAGAGTGTTAAGATCAGAATGTGAACTTTCTAATAACACGAGCAACAGAGGGCTTGGAAATGAGATATTGTTTAGAAAAATAAGAGGTCTTCAGCTTGTGCCCCTACTGAGATGAAATCAGAGCTGTTCTGCTAATGCCCCGATGATGATGATGGTAATAAACACTGTCATCATCATCATCATCATCATCTGTTTACTGAGCTCTCACTGTCTGCAAGCACTGTTCTACCTTATTTACCTAGTGGAGACTATCAATGACCCCTTTTTACAAACGTAGGAACTAAGGCACAGAGAGGTCAAGCAACTTGGTCAAGGACACAGATTTCGTAAGTGGCAAAGTCGGGATTAGAACCCACGCAGTCTGGCTGCAGGACCCACACTTATCACTTCTACACTCTAAACCGTCCCTCTAGCTCTGAGAGTAAGAACTCCAATGAGAATATAAGACTGTCAGTTAGTTGGCTGAATATGTTTCATGAGTGAAAGCTGTGAGAAAATGCTACATAATGAACAATGTCCTCTACAACATCCTTACAGCATGTGTGACAGTTTCCCAAAGTTCTTTCTTATAATATCCCTTCTGGACATAAATCACAAAAGTAAACGTGAGATTCTGCTCCTGTGGACCTGTATGCACTCAAGATAAACTGACCGTGAAATCCTCTTAGTATCTTACTAGTTACATAAGGCTGCTAGCCACAAGTCAGTGTTAGGGGAACATGTACCCTAAAGAATGATTTGGTTTCAAATGGTTGATTTAGAGTCCTCCCTTCTGAAGGCAATTAGATAGTAGGTCAGCTATGAGGACCACTCCTATTTTGTTGCAATGCAGTCATGTCTTCTGGATGTGATCTTTCTATTCTCTGTAGCGGAGGTAAGGAGAGAAGACAGATTGAGTGCAGCCAAAAGTGGTAGTGAGTCATTAAGACACAAGTGAAAATGAAGAGAGGGCAGAATACAGCTTGTTCTATCCCTCAAGACATTAGTATTCACTTGTACAAAAGACAGTTCCACTGATCCTGTGGTCTTATGGTGTTTGGAAAATAGAGGCTGTGTGAAGGTAAACAGTGACCAGGGGGATGGATGTGCTAATTAATTCAGTAGGAGAATACTTTCACAATATGTATGTATATCAGATCATCACACTGTACACTTTAAATATCCTACAACTTTGTCAATTATACCTCAACACAGCTAGGGGAAAAAAACAGAAACAAAACAGTAACTGGTGGAAACATAGCTTGCTGCCATGACATAGTTAACAAACTGTGTTCCCTGGAATCTTAGGGTGGCTTGGGGATGCTCCTTGGTGAAAAGGTCCTCCAATCCTTTCATCTAGATACTTGCTTTATACTTTTAGGATTTTGAATAAGGTTCCATCTGAAACGGCTCTGCTGCTTTAAAAAGAAGTTTAAAATCACTACTTCATATTTTCCAGCTCTCTGGGGATAGTGCTTGGCTTGTTCATTAGATCTAAAAACACCAGAAATAAAAATCTTTTCTACCAATTTTTACAATTAGAACAAATAATTACATAAAAGTTCTTTGAGTGCCAACAACCTGCCAAACTATATGTTAGACACTTGCTCTGAATGAAGGCAAACAATGCAGCATTGCTTATATATATACACATACCTGCTTAACTACGGCAACCATGCAACAATCATATTACCGAGGAACAAAGAGAATCAACTACCCAAAATCCATTCCTGCCAACACATCTTCATTAATATCAACATCCAACTTTCCCATTTCTATTTTAGTTCTTGATCCTACAGATGCGATATATACTGAGCAGTTATTAAGGTTGCCTTCTTTATCAACGACCTGTTTCTATCTTTTGTTTTCACCCCATAATATATAAAGAGGTGGCAATAAATAACAAGGTCCTACTGTATAGCACAGGAACTATATTCAATATCCTATGATACACCATAATAGAAAAGAATACAAAAGAAGAATGTGTGTGTTATGTGTATATATATATATATATATCTCAATCACTTTGCTGTACAGCAGAAATTAACACAATATTGTAAATCAACTCTACTTAAAAAAAAAATCTTTGTCTAACCAGTGGGTTTTTAAAAATTAAACTAAATATTTAATTCAAAGCAAAGAATATATATACAAAGAGGCTGAATTCTGTGGGAAAGACCAGCTCTTATGAGATTAACTCACCAAAATGATCTGAAGGAAGAACTCATATTGTCGCACGTTATATAGTGCTTCTTTTAACATATAGGGCTGAAGTTCTTGACTCAAGAGTGGGTTCTCTGCTACTTTCTCGAGGATGGCTGTGTAGCGGTATGCCTGGTCCTGGACCACCTCAAGTTGGGAATCAACATGCTGAGTGGTGGCTGGGATTGCTTCCTGTAGAATAGCTGGCACTGGTTTGAGAGGTATAATAAGAGGGACATGAGGCAATCTAAAAAGATTCAGAAGAAAAAGCCTAGAAAGGGGTCATATTTAAACATTAGGTTGAGTTAGTTATTTTCCTCAACCAAATTAACAATAAGGAGGCATATTCAAAAAACAAGAAGACATTACCAGAATAATAAGCAAAAGTTAAAGCAGATCAGCTTTTGCTACTAAAATATAGGAGATGCTAAAGAATAGACAGGCGTTGGTGTCATGTGCTGTATTAACTATGTGCCTCTAGAAAAGCCCCTGTATCTCTCCTTCTGTGTACCTTCTTTACTACTGGTAAAAAAGAAAATAGAAGTGTACCACTTAAGAAACTCACTGGGATACTGGGATACTGAAAAATAACAGAATTGTCTAGCAAGACAGGAAACTTTATGAGGAATGGGAATTGACTTTTTAGAACAGTTTTTAAATTGCAAAAAAAACTACCTTATTGTACTAGATCAGTGATCTGGTAAAAAGACATTAACACCTTCTCAGTGGGCCTACGTGTGTACCAAATGCATAAGGAAGTTACTTCTACTGGTAGGTCTTTGAGCAAATATTTCAATGAGTACTTTCAAACTTACAGATAATGAATGCATTAAGTATATAACAGCATAGTAGAGGCTCTTGAATTTACAGACTTGCAGATATCTCCTCTTGGACCATTTCATTCCATTAACCACATCAACAATGGTTTGCTTTTCAGGGTGATTTTTATTTTTTAAATCACTGAACTTTATTCCCTTTTGGTTATTTGACTTGGAGTAAAGAACACAAAGCCCCACTGACCTGGGGAGGCTGGCCTCCAGAAGGCCCTCTCAATCCTTTTACTGATTCATGCTCCCATACTAGCTTCATGGTACATAAAATTTAAGGTCTTGCCCCAATAAAATGAAAAATTGCTATACATTATGAACAGTAGCTGTACCTAAGGGATGGTCAAAACTGCAAACCTTAAATCTAAGAATGCCAGTGGTGTACTGTGAATTATTCTCCTCTGCTCCCATTAAATTTTAAACTTACCTAACCTATAGAATTAACTTAATGATATACCTACAGTCATCAATGCCTTCTCCTCCCTTTCCACAGTCTCGGTTAAATAAACGAATTCCAGTAACAATCATGGTGAGCTCTTTCAGCTGGCGTTCTCTGTCCTTCTTAGAAAGAGTTAGAAATGTCCCAAGCTCAGCCTGAGGAAAAACACTCTGTAGGGCAGCTAAAACAGACCACAATAAAGACCACAAAATGGTAAGTAAAGATATCAGAACGTAAAAAACAAGTTCCTTTCAGCAGAAAGTTAAGGGGCTTGTCTTTATAGAGTTACTTAGATGATTCTTTAAATGTCTGATACCTGCTTCCAGAATACATGGCAAAATTTAGCATTTATCAAGAAAGCTGAGCTACTGAAAATAATGCCATTGCCTCACGTCTATTTTCATAATTAAGCATCCATCAGTAATTTTTTGGCAATGGGCATTAAAACAAGCTTTCTAATTAGGGCTCTGAGTAGAAAAAAAATGATGTTTAAAATAATTATGGAAGAAAGCCGCAGGAAGATTAGAGATATTGCCTATTCCTTATCTTAAAGTACGAAAGTGGGCAAGTATTTCCTGAGGATAAAACAGTGCCATTTCCCATCATCCATCCTAGGTGACAGACTCAACGCCTTTCATCAGTAGGAAATCTCCTCTCCCAGCAGTCCCCGTTCCCCAATCAGCCTGGTTAATCATACTGCCAACGTTTCTGTAGTGAAACATTGTAATAGGCCCCTAGGTACCTACAGCTCTAAGAAGATTAACAATATTCACTTCCCAAAAGTGCTACTTGAGTTTTAGTGTTGATACACTGTGTAAAAACAATCTGGAGTAAATTTTAACCTCTTATTTGTGCTAATTTTTTTCATATAAAAGAAGAAAACTTCAATCTTCAATACTTATAATTCAACATATTTTATAAGATACTATGTTCATGGATGGAATGGAAATGGTGTATATTTTTTACCTGTTGCCTCTCTGACAATCTTGATGTCTGTTGGGGACCCCAGCCCAGAGCGCAGTAACACGTAGCTGACGATCTTGCGGTAGAGGCTTTCCAGTTCTTCTCGAACACATGCTCGACTATCTGTAATTTCTCTGCTAACAGAGCTTAATCTAGACTCTATGACCCGGTGATGTTCTTCGAGAAATTCCTCTAAAATTGGCAAAGGACAATGTTCCGTATATTGATACTTAGAATTCTTCTCACATAAGAAAATAGGACCAGGGGCTTCCCTGGTGGCGCAGTGGTTAAGAATCCGCCTGCTAATGCAGGGGACACAGGTTTGAACCCTGGTCCAGGAAGATCCCACATACGGCAGAGCAACTAAGCCCGTGCGCCACAACTACTGAGCCTGCACTCTAGAGCCCACGAGTCACAACTACTGAGCCCACATGCCACAGCTACTGAAGCCCATGCTCCACAACAAGAGAAGCCACGGCAATGAGAAGCCCACGCACCACAAGGAAGAGCAGCCCCCGCCCGCCGCAACTAGAGAAAGCCTGCATGCAGCAACGAAGACCCAACACAGCCAAAATAATAATAATAAATAAAAATTTTTAAAAAAGAAAATAGGACCAGAGGAAAAAATGGCTTGGTATGGCAATTCTACTGCATGAAAACAAGTATTTTCGTAAGATGTAGTAAGCAAAAATGAACAGTGGCCAGCAAGTAACCTCAAGACAAAAATCTAGTGGGAAAGATTTACTACCGCGATTTAAATGGCATGCTTTATCAAAACACGTAAGCCTTTAAACAGACAATCCAAACGTAATAGCAGATAGGGCTAAAACCTCCTACTTAAGCAGAAAGTACACAAGACAATTTATAATATATATTATAAACACATACAGTATAAATATTGTACTATCTATACTCTCTAGGTAAGTAGGTATAGTATACCGTATGTAAACACATCTAAAATAAATATCCGTATAGGTAGTATAAATATTCCTCTTCAATTATGTGTACTTCTATTTTAGTTCTAGATAAATTTCCTTTGAATATCATTACTGTAATATGATGTTGCATCAAGAATGGTATCCCTCTCCCTTCTTCCTGTAATACAGTGAGGTTTAGGCTTAATCGTGGAAGGAGCCGCAGTTCACCAGCACTATAATTCTTGCAACTAAGTCAATAAGACACCCTATAATAAGGGCAATAATTAACATATCAACCATGCCCAGTTCATAACTATAATCTTACCACAAAAACAACTCAAACTTTGAAAGTAAGAAAAATCTAAATTACATCATCAATTCCACTATTATTTATTGTTCTAAAATATTATTACTGATCAAAAAAGCAAGATATATGATTTTACACATGTAGCATAACTGAAAGGTTAATTCAGAGAGGGAAAAAAAGACAACAAAAATCACCAAATGGTTAATAATGATTGAATTACAGTGGGGCAGAGGCAATGTAATCTACAGAGAAATTTCATTTCCTTTTTTCTCTTCTTTCCAGTTTATTTTTATTTTTTATTTTTTTATTTTTTGCAGTACGCGGGCCTCTCACTGTTGTGGCCTCTCCCGTTGCGGAGCACAGGCTCCAGACGCACAAGCTCAGTGGCCATGGCTCACGGGCCCAGCTGCTCCGCAGTATGTGGGATCTTCCCAGACCGGGGCACGAACCCGTGTCCCCTGCATCGGCAGGCAGACTCTCAACCACTGTGCCACCAGGGAAGCCCTCCAGTTTATTTTTGATGTATGTAAGAAACTATTTACATAAGGAAATATGTTCTAAGCTTAAATTTCTCATCAGTCACTTCATTTTTGGGTAAGTTACATAATTTAGGTAAGCATTATACGATAATAATATAAACCAGGAAAAATAAAATCAGCAAATTAAAAAATTTTAACTTCAGTGAGCTGGTTGCTTTAACTTAAGTTATTATGTATTAGTGGTATAATAGTCAAAACACAATAGACTTGGAAACTTCTGACACTCACAAAGGCCACTGGTGTTCTTCTCATTTAGCATCTCCAACATTATTACATTCTTCAAAGTTGGAAAAAATTTCAAAAGATAAACGAAAAAGTTAAATTGTTCTTGGTCAACCAAATGAAGCCCTTGAGAAATGGAATATTGCCTGCCATCTCAGTAAACAAAGGATGTCACAGTCATCAGCACTTGCAGCCCCCCAGTGTGAGCTGGTGAGCCCTGAGGGAACTCTGGAAGGAAAGAATACCTGCCATCTAGCAGCCATCAGACTGCAGCCACTCCCCATGGTGAGCCCTGAGGAAACTCAGGATGTGAAAACACAGGATACTGGCTCCAGATAGCTGAGGTCCATATCAGTGAGCCCAGACTCTTGCATCTTCTCATACAAAGAAAAGCCCTAATTTCCTTAATTTGGGATATCAGTTCCCTTTAATTAACAATACTGTTTTGACATTAGACTAGCTTGAAGTCCTAAAATTTCCCGCTGAATAAAACATAACAATCAACTTTTAGGTTGTGAACATTTTTTAAGTCAACACCCTTATTACCTGAAATACAATATGAATCTTCTTTAAAAGGGTATCAAAATCGGTAGATATATGTTACCTCGACTTGTATAATTCATATCAAAATAGACTTGCATCTTAATGGTGTCCAGGGAAGGATTTTTACTGTCCAATAGCCGAGTCACACAAAGCTAAAAAAGAAAATCACATACATGCTTCCAGTTATATTTTCTGAAAAAATCAGAAGTGTTTTCCAAAGTTATGCTCAAAATCAAAGAGCAACATCAAAGTCATTATTTCTGATATTTATCTACCAATGACCATTTTTATTATGTTTTTTCTCATTGAGGACTTTACGCTTTATAGTTTACTTAACCAACAACATTTATTAAGTAATAAGCTACTCCCCCTGAGTTAACCAATATTACCATACCCAAGTGACTAATAGTCTAGTTGGAGGCAAGGAACTTGACCTTTTGCTTAGTCTCTGCAGCCTGAATGTGGGTGAATGTGCCATGATGCTTATGCTCCTGTCTACAGTTCTTCCTGAGTCCCTTTATTACTGTTTTGGTTTTGGTTTTGTTTATTGTTTGTTTGATTTATTTTTGGCTGTGTTTGGTCTTCGTTGCTGCACGCGGGCTTTCTCTAGTTGTGGCGAGCGGGGGCTACTCTTACTTTTCTGGTGATAAGGCTTCTCGTTGCAGTGGCTTCTCTTGTTGTGGAGCACGGGCTCTAGGTGTGTGGGCTTCAGTAGTTGTGGCACATGAGCTTCAGTAGTTGTGGCACATGGGCTCAGTAGTTGTGGCTCACGGGCTTTAGAGTGCAGGCTCAGTAGTTGTGGCGCATGGACTTATTTGCTCCGCGGCATGTGGGATCTTCCTGGACCAGGGCTCGAACCCGTGTCCCCTGCATTGGCAGGAGGGTTCTTAACCACTGCGCCACCAGGGAAGTCCCCTCATTACTGTTTATCTGAGCCTAACACTCTTTTTTGCTGATGATGGAGGTCATGTGCATTTTATAAAACGCTGCTGCGGCTACGCCCCCTGCTCACAGACTTTCTCTGGCTCTACCTTCTGTTTCAAAATTTCTTCCTCTGGTCCATCTTCTCCTGTTTTTCCCCAAACATAGATGGCTCATCCCTTCTCTGCTTTGCCTTTAGAATAGAGGATCACCTGAATTTTTCTTTTCTTCTCTCTTCTGCACCCCCCAAGCCCAGTCTTCCCCCATCTCACCTGTTAGACTTATATTATGTCTGCACCCAGCGGGCACATCAACACCAACCCTCAACCCAACTCCCAGGCCACCAACCCTCCTTTCCTGGGAGGAGGAAGAGGGGAAAGCAGGAGTGAGGACGGAACATTATCTTTAGGGGACCCATGCACCCAGACCCCTCCAGGTGGAGAAGTGGCGTTCCAAGCACAGACTTTACAAATGCACAGACTAGCTCATCAACATGATTTTTAATTGAGAAAAAAGAAAACAATCTTTATCACTTGAATTATTATATAAATTGACAGTTAATGTACCTGTCATATTAAAAGTATATTGAGCACAGGAAACTATATTCAATATCCTGGCATAAACCATAATGGAAAAGAATATAAAAAAGAATGTATATAAGTGTATAACTGAGTCACTTTGCTGTACAGCAGAAATTAACACAACATTGTAAATCAACTATACTTCAATAAAAAAATAAATTTAAAGAAAAAGTATATTGAGCTTGATTCTTTCCAACTTGGTTGAGTTGGAGGGAGAAAAAAAAACCAAAACTCTTCTTGAGCCATGAAAAGGAGAAAAACATTTTCTGCCCCTCCTTGATTCTCCTCCACGGCTGTCCAATCAAATTTCTGAATAACCATCAGTCATTTCCCCTATCGCTAAAAACAGGCCTTATACCACATTCTCAGATTCAGCACAGAAAGACCCAGCTCTCAGCTGCCTTAGAGAATCATGGAGTCTCTTCTGCACAGTTATTGTAACGACATATTCCCCAGATCCAAGCTTCCAAAGCTCTTCCTGACCCTCCAGCATCTGCAGACAGACCTGCACTCCACTATGTGAACTGCTGGCTGTGCGAGAAGATGGAGATGATGAAAATTTTCTCTGCCATTTGTCTGAGCTCAGAAAATATCACGTACAAGTCTGGGAAAGCTTGTTTCAAGTCTTTTGTGTGAAGGAGGGAATTAAAATCATTAAGCCCAGGAAGAAAAAGATAAATGTTGAAATTTTAGGAAATACATTGAGGAATATCTAGAAAATAAATATTTAAGCATCTAAACCCAGTGAGTCAAACTTAAAACATATGAAAAAATTAACAATGTCTAAAGTTCCTGCCCTCTTTAGTTCTTAAAATTGCTTTTCAGGCACACCTACTTGATTCTAACAATGAAATCTTTGCTCTGGGTTCAATTTTTCCCTTCGAATTGAAAAACACAAATTACATTGAATCAATAATTATATGAATCTTAATTTAGTACTATAATTTTACAGTATACGACAAGTCAGTTAATAATGTTCTCAATGTAACATTAGATTAATAACAAGATGTCTCTGAAATACTGTGGCAGACACTGCTACCTGCCAGTATCCATACCCCTCCTTCCTTACTAACAAAGCCCCAGTTTGGATTAAGGCAAAGACTTGGTCAGCTAAAAAAGCAAAGAAAAAACAAATCAATATCCCAGGCTCACTTGCAGTATCATTCTAGTCAATAAATGCAAACAGACGGGAGGGATTCTGGGAAAGCCTGTTATTTTCCGAAAAGAAAGTGACAGACCCAACTGCACACACATTTTGACCTTTGTCCTCTTACCTTATGCCTGCCTAGAGGTGGGAGAGCTATCTTGTGACCCTGGGGTGAAAACACATGCATGATGGTGACCCAGGAAGTCAGGAAAAATAGCCTATGTACCTCTAGACTTCGTTTTATGAGAAAAAATAAAACTCTCATTTGTCTGCACCACGATTTGGTGGGGTTTTCTTTCACAGAGCTGAAGGCAATATTGACCAACACAAATACTACATTTAGAATTGCAAGTAATAATTCAAATTTTGAGAACTGCTGGATAATCACCTTTACAAGTTTCTGCACGTCGCCTTTCAAGAGAGTTCTATCCGTGTTAAAGCCATTACTTGGGTCCAGGACAACAGCTTTCACCTGAGAGTAGGAAAGAGTCCATTCAATTTATTTCATGTTACTACAAAATTAGTTTAACAATTTTCCATTTTTTAGATAAATTCCTCTTGACTACCCAGCAGTTGATTATTCAGCTGATTTTCTTATAACCATTAGAGGCTGAAGAAAGGGAGCAATAAGCATCAAATCTGAACATGGTGTTAGAAAAAGGACATGGAGAAACAGGTTGAAAGCAATGGCTAGATTTTACATTGGGAAACTGAATATATTTATCGTATTTTTTATTGTGTATTGTTAAAACAAAAGCAAGAGTAGAGAGACTGAGGCAGGAGACAGATGGGCTCCAGGCTAAGCATTTACCTCTAGCCTCCTGCTTACATTTCATAGGGCAGCAAAAAGTGGGCTTCAGGCCAGGCACTTACAGCTAGTCTCCTGTTTGCATTTCCTGAGACAGGAGTTAGATGGGCTCCAGATTAGACATTTAAAATCAGTCTCCTATTTACTCTCTGAAATGTATGCTACCACAGGGACAGGGTAAATAGCCAAGTTTTGTCTCTTGGGGATGCCTTAAGATAACAGTCATGGTGAGAACAAAGAGGGGCACAAACTTGTTTGAGTAAAGGATCAAGGGATCTCCGCTTCCCTCCCACCCCACCCTTGGGGCAAGGGAGTTACTAGGCGTGCGCAGAAAGTCTCCTTGGAGGGGTCAAAAGTCAGGGGACAGGGCTTCCCTGGTGGTGTAGTGGTTGAGAGTTCGCCTGCCGATGCAGGGGATGAGGGTTCGTGCCCCGGTCCGGGAAGATCCCACATGCCGTGGAGCAGCTGGGCCCGTGAGCCATGGCCGCTGGGCCTGCGCGTCCGGAGCCTGTGCTCCGCAATGGGAGAGGCCACTAGCAGTGAGAGGCCCGCGTACCGCAAAAAAAAAAAAAAAAAAAAAAAAAAAAAGTCAGGGGACAATGCCAGGCCACAATGAGTCTTGCTTCTCCCAGATGCCTTTGCATCGAGATCTATCTTGGCTGAGAGGTGCATGTGCACCTAGGGAGAGGGTCCTGAAACAAATTAGCCAGGGGGTAAAAAACAAGACAATTGCCAGAAGGAAGGCAAAGACCTGGAAGAACTGACCTACATAAATGATTTAACTGCCCGTTTACCGAACTCCTCCTCATTAAGGAGGAGGCCCACACCCTTTCTCTCCAGATGTGCATCTCTGCCTACCTTCTTTTTTTCTTTTTTAATAAATTTATTTAGTTATTTGTTTATTTTTGGCTGCACTGGGTCTTTGTTGCTGTGCACAGGCTTTTCTCTAGTTGCAGCGAGCGGGGGCTACTCTTCATTGTGGTGTGTGGGCTTCTCATTGTGTTGGCTTCTCTTGTTGCAGGGCACAGGCTCTAAGCACACGGGCTCCACTAGTTGCGGCACATGGGCTCAGTAGTTGTGGCACACGGGCTTAGCTGCTCCGCAGCATGTGGGATCTTCTGGCACCAGGGCTCAAACCCGTGTCCCCTGCATTGGCAGGCAGATTCTTAACCACTGAGCCACCAGGGAAGTCCCTGCCTAGCTTCTGTCTTAACTAAACAAACTGTTTCTCTGTGTGCTCCCCCACTTGTTGTTGTGCTATGTCTCTAATAATAAACTTTCTACCTGTTTTTACAGTTTTTGCCTCCGTGAGAAATGCGTTTTCCACTGGGGGCAAGAGCCAGGGAAAAATAGCTTCTAGCCTCTAGCCCTTGCTGGTCTGGTGGCTAGGATTCCTGGTTTTCATCCAGGCTACCCAGGTTCAACTCCTGGGCAGGGAATTAAGATCTGGCTTCACGCCATCGCTCACTGCTGCCTCTCCGAGATGAGGCAATCAGTAATTTTTACAACAGTGAACAAAAATACATCTTAAAAAAACTCCCACATAGGAAAACATTATTGATGTTTCTAAAACTTATCAAGATCTTCCAAATCAGTCTCCTAAATCGAGAACTAACATGCTTTATAGACTTAAAAAAATATATTTTTGGCTAACTTGTCCAACGGTCTCAGTATGTTTTCAACGGAATAACAGTTAGGAAAACACCACAGAATTTTAAGAGGAAAATGGGCACCGCTTAAACACATTTTTTAATAAAGCAGTAATTCACAAAAATATTCATTCTTACCATAAAAGCAACCAGAGTTTCAGAAACAATCTCTCCATGGGCTGCACATTCTTGTCCTATTTCTCGAATGATATTCTTTATAACACTTTCAGCCTGAGTGGGAGGCATTCTGGCTAAATAAAAAGATTTTTTTTAATTGCATTTATATACTATTTTTTCCTCTCTAGATTTCACCACTAACATATTTGTAAAGTCATATTATTTATTAACTTATTAGTATTTACGAGTATCTAGGCCCCTCCTGTTTTCATCACTTTGTTTCATATTTATAAAAATGACAGTGAGAGCAACTGGAATGCTTCAAATGATTGAAACATTCCCTCTTTATTTAAATGATGGTGGTTACCAAAAGTACATTTATAGCATGATATTTTTAAATTTAAAAAAAGGTTAAGGGCTTCCTTGGTGGCGCAGTGGTTGAGAGTCCGCCTGCCGATGCAGGGGACACGGGTTCGTGCCCCGGTCCGGGAGGATCCCACATGCCGCGCAGCGGCTGGGCCCATGAGCCATGGCCGCTGAGCCTGTGTGTCCGGAGCCTGTGCTCCGCCACGGGAGAGGCCACAGCAGTGAGAGGCCCACATACCGCAAAAAAAAAAAAAAAAAAAAGGCTAAACACTATTGGGGGCAGGGTGGAGTAGAATTAATGAGAATCCCCACTCCCATTTGTGTAGGCGGCCGAGTACAGCTTGAAAGAGGAAATGCTTATTCCACCACATTCACTAAATGACCTTTCATAATTATAATGACTCTTGGAAAACAATTCTTGCTTGGATCGTCTAAATTCTCTTCCTAGCACATCCAAGTTGGCATTTAGACTCTTGATTAAAAACATAAAACCAAAAATATTACAGGAGTTATGCATCACGGAAAAAAAATGAACTCCTGGTTATTAATTCCATTTACTATAAACCAGGAAAAGGTGGCGGGTTTTAATGGCTATCAGGTTTTCTGATTCGTACCAGTAACTGAGCACAGGGGAAATAAGCATGTAGAGAATAAAAAAGGCAATCCCAGGTAGATAAAGCTAACTTTCAGCGTTATTAGGGTTCAGGTAGGGTCAACAACACGTCATCTTGTCCAACAGAACCGGAGTGCCCGGTTTCCATCGTGACCCGACCATTTTCTAGCTGAGACCTCGGGCATCTGCTTCACCTCTCTTTGAAGCGGTTTCTCATCTGAAAAATATAGATTCGACTACTACCCTCTCCCCGGAGTTGTCGCGAGGACTGAATTCTATACATTTAGTGGTTAAAATAGTGCGTGGCAGAAGGTAAGCGCTTAAAACAGCAGCTCCTAACGAGCCCGTGCTCAAACGTTAGCCTTGCGTGTGCGCGTGCGCGAGCGCCCTCGGGCGCCGGGCCCGGGCCGCCCAGGACTCCCCTCAGTACCCGCCCGTGCTTGACTCTGGGAAGCCCAAACCCCCAAGTTCAGGCCGTCGGGGCTGTGCAAGGGGCCCCGAGCAGCGGTGAGCGGGCTCAGGCGCCATCGCCTTACGGGTTAGAAGCCTGACCTGCGGACCTGGGTGCCTCCGGCCGGAAGTGACCGCTGTTTCCGTTCAGCCGCGGCGCCCAGAAAGGAGTCCTTACAGTTCAGCCTCAACCAGGCTAGACGGGATGCTCCAGCGGCCCAGGCTCTGTCCACGGCCCCACGCTCGCTTCCTCGCGGGGTACACCTCGGGCTCAAGGGCGCGGAGCCTCGAATGGGCTGACCTTGGCCGGAATGGAGAGCTGGAGCCGCGTCTACCCGATTCTTCCCCGGGGTCTTTGCGGGGGCCTTCTGGGCAACTGGGCTCTCTAGGAAGCAGCGTTATAACCATGGAAACCGAACGCTAGGGCCCGAAGGGGGCGGGACCAGGATGTGGGTAGGGCCAAGGTGGGGAGGCGTGGCTGAGTCCAAGCTTGAGGGTCTTTCCCGGGAGGATGGACGAGAATAACTTTATAAAACAAAGACAAACAAATACAGAGATACCCAGGGACTTCCCTGTGGTGCAATGGTTAAGAATCCGCCTTCCAACGCAGGGGACACGGGTTCGATCCCTGGTCGGGGAAGATCCCACATGCCACGGAGCAACTAAGCCTGTGTGCCACAACTACTGAGCCTGCACTCTAGAGCCCATGTGCCACAACTACTGAGCCCGTGAGGCACAACTACTGAAGCCCGTGTGCGCCTAGAGCCCATGCTCCGCAACAAGAGAAGCCACCGCAATGAGAAGCCCACGCACAGCAATGAAGAGTAGCCCCCGCTCCCCGCAACTAGGGAAAGCCCGTGCGCAGCAATGAAGACCCAACACAGCCAAAAAAAACTACAGAGAGACCCAAATCCCAGGCAGAAGGCGGCAGGTTCACTACACCTCAGTGGGTTAAGGGTGTCAAACACAAGATCTCTTAAACAAGAGTATTAATTAACTTGGTAGCATGGAAACCTATGCAGCCTTTAAAAAAAGGGGATACAGTGGGGGAGGCAAGCAGATGCCAGTTCCTAGAGATGGGAAAATGGAAGGGTTGTATTCTTGAGAAATGCAGTGCATATAAAAGTATTGTTGCTGGAAATAATCAATAAACAATCCATAACAGGAACAGAAAAGAGTTTTAACTGAGGCCTACAGCCCTGGACACAGCCTTTCAGATAACTCTGAGGAATTGCTCCTGAAAAGCATGGTTTTCAACAGTTTTATATTTTGTCAGAACAAAGAATATCAAACAAGTCAGGGATGCATTCCTTCAAGGTTTCAAAAAAACAGATTAGCATGTACACAGCCAGTCAGTATGGCCTTGGCACCAGGAAGGAAGTCTTATCATTGAAGGAGTACCAGCATTGGCTGCCAAGGAAAGAGCTCTAATTTTAACACAGGGTCAATGCACTTTTCTTTAATGATTAAAGCAGAGGTACAGTGTATGTTTGATAGGCCACAAACCGGCTGTTTTAGTTAGCATAAAATTCAAGTTAAATTACATATAAGCCAGGATGACTTTCCCCATACCTCAATATGTGAACATTTCTTCCATTAGTATCTAGTTTTTAAAAAAACAAAAGAAGGATCACAGTTTAATTTCACGTCCTCTTGTTCAAAGGAAATCAGTAATAGGATAGCCCAAGATGCCAGAAGAGAAAACTGCACGTTCTAGAAGCACATACAACCCATCCGAGTCTGGAGATGGAATAATGAGGTTTTGTCCTTCAACGGTAATGTTCGTTAGGTCCACCTACTGACATGAAAGTACGAAACAGCATTAAAATGATATTAGAAGCAGAGCATCAAACAACGAAGTTTTATTTTTAAAAAGGCTACTGCCAGTAATTTTTCTCAAATTGCAAGCAAATATACCAAATAAACTTTACTTAAGGACATTCACAAATTATTAGGAAATGAATCAACACAAAAAATACCCAAGTCATACTATAAAAGGATTATTTATCTTCCCCTTCTAGAAAATTTTTGTAGAATGGGGATGAAGCTTGTGCAAAAATAGATTTTTAGAGTAGCAAGATATATAATAGCAAAACACTGGAAATACAAACACCTGAGATTTAAGGAATGTTGATAAAGTAAAACATTAGGCAGGCATTTAAAATGTGAGTAAAAACCTGGTGTTTGTCTCATATTTTTAAAAAGCCAAATGCAAAATATATATACAGTATGACCTCAGCTATATTCATATACATAATATATAAAAAGTGTGTAAGTCAATTTACCAATATCCTTAGCAGTGTGTGGATCTAAGTTATTTATTTATTACTTTATTACTTATCTGAGTATGGGTTAGTTATTTTTATTCCTTTATACTTTTCTGAATTTCTAGATTTTCTATAATGAGTATATAGTCTTATGATCTATAAAACAAAATAGAGAAAAAAAATGAGAGGACTAGCTATTCATAGAAACTGAGCCCAATTTGGAAACTGTAAATACATAAAGTAACACAACAAAAAAGAAAGTGATATAGCAAAATTTTAACAGCAGTTATATCTAGGCAATGAGAGAATGGCTGTTTTCTTCTTTATACTTTAAGATATCTACCAAAATGTGTTTCATGAGCATATATTATGTTAGAATATTAAATATTTTGGGGGACTCCCCTGGTGGTCCAGTGGTTAAGACTCCATGCTTCCACTGTAGGGGGCACGGGTTCAATCCCTGGTTGGGGAACTAAGATCCTGCAGGCTGCGTGGCATGGCCAAAAAAAACAAACAAGAAAAAAGAACATTAAATATTTTTTAAGCTGGTAAGAATAATTCCATCATGTTAGGTATAATTTTAAACTAATGGGCAAATCCTGGCACAAATACTTCCTGAGTGTGTCTGATACTGCTAGTTGCCTACCTAATATACAAGTTCTTCTCCCTTACCAACACTGATTGTGTTGTAAATGACAATGTTCTATTCTGAAAGAAAAAAAAAAGATATCTCAACAGCCCCCGCTTTCAGCTAGGGGTGACCTGTGACATGGTCCTGGCCAATGAGATGTAAGTGGAATCACTGGATGGAGAGGCAGAGAAAGGCCTTTCATATTTATGTCTATCTCCTTCCCTTTTCTTTGTACTTAAAATGAGAATGTACTGGCTGAAGTTCCAGCAGCCTTATTGTGAACATGAAGATGAGAACCACAGCTTAAGGGTGAGGAAACAAAAATCTAAAAAAGAGCCTGAGTTCCTGGTGATATCTCAGAGCAGCCATATCAGTCTTCTTGACTGCCTACCTCCAGACTTCCCATAACATCAGAGAAAATAAACCTCTATCTCATCATTTAGGTTTTCTGCTACATTCAGCCAAATTCAATCCCTAACTGCTACCTACAATAGGTGTGACTTTGGAAGTATTATTTAGCCTTTTGTGCTACATTGAATAATTGGCCCTAATTCTTCACTCCTCCTTGCACGCACACCCTTGTTATGGACTTATGTGGAGTATCCTTCCTTGCCCTTTGAGTTTAGCTATATGACTTGCTTTGGCCAATGGGATGTATGGAAGTGACAGTGTATCAAGTTCAGAGTCAAGGCCTTAAGAGACCCCACATTTCTCCTTTCCCTCTTGAGCTTGTGTCACTGTCATGAGAAGAACATACCCTGGCTAGCTCTTGGGTCCCAGGAGAAGAATGAGAGACATATGGAGCAGAATTGCCTGAACCAGTCTTTCAATGAGATGCAGAGCTGTCCAGATGGGCCCAACCTAGATCAGCCCAACTCCAGCCAACCTACAGATGTGTGAGAACAAATAAGCATTGTTTTAAACCACTGAGTTTTGGGGTAGCTTATTATACAATATTACTGTGATAATAGTTCATCTATAAACCTCTCAATGGTCCAAATTTCTCATTTATGAAACAAAGATAATAATAGCATCTACCTCATAGATTTGTTAGAATAAAATGAGGGAATCCTTATGAAGCACTTAGCATAGTGTCTGGCATAGCTTAAGGGATCAATACATTTTAGATATGATTATTACCTTTAACACTATTGTTGACAAAATCAATATGAAAATGTATTTCACACTCCCATGACTTATTGGACTTCCAGTCTTTGTAGAACAAGTTTTTTCTAGTTTTAACATGGCAGCAATTTAAAAAGAAACATGGAGGAACTAGAGAGCCTCCAAAAAATGATAAGAATCTTGTCAGAAAGAAATGGAAGGAGTTGGATATATTTACCTTAAGAAAAACATGGCCTGAGAACTAGTCTCAGTTTTGTTAGAAGAGAAAGAGGACTTTATGTTGTTTCAGAACAGCAGAGTACAAATCTACAGACAGTAGTGGATCTAACTTAACATAAAACAAACAGAGTTGACCAGTTGTGATGGAAGTCATAGGAGAGAAAGTGAGCTCCATTTTACTGAATGCTTTTAACTCAAAGATAATTAGGATTATCTTCACGAAATGGCATAGACTTAATTCCTATGATTAAGTGACTTTAAGATGTCAGGGATCAGGGACTATCACACTTTTAAACAGGGGAATATATATGTGAGTGTGTGTGTGTGTGTGTGTATTTCCCTAAAGTCTTAAGAGCAAATGAGTTGAGCATTTTACCATGTTTACTAATTTCTGTTGAATGGTGGACGGTGTAAATGTTATCCTTGTTGACTGCCTGAATTTTGTTGTCTCCCTTCAAGGAGTGTTGAGCTTTGGGTTTTTTTAGGCAGCTAAGTTATTTCTGGATCATTTTGATTCCTTTGAAAACTGTGTTTCAGCTGTACTAGGAAGAGACTAGAGTAGCCTTCACTCCAGGGGCAATTTTGCCCCACTACTAAGTAATGACTGCTCAGAGGTTTTCACTGAGGACTTCCCATTCTGACTAGTCAGAGCTCAAATGTCTGCCCATCCTCTGTGATTTCTGGGAATCATTTAGCTTGCAACTCCCTGGTTATTCTTTGATGGGCTGTGTGGATTTTCAGTCGATGTATGCACAGCCAAACATTTAGCAGACTCAGATTTATGGAGCTGTGCTTTTTTTTTTTTTAAAAAAAAAAAAAAAAAAAAAAAAAAACTCTGCCCTTCAAATTCAGCTCCCTCAGCCTCTGGGAATGCTGGTCTCTGTCTCCTCAACTCAGCTAATCTCTAGTCTCTGTTTGGGTTTATTTTCCAAGTATTCTGGAAATTGCCTCCACAAAGAAAGTTAGGGAGGCATTCAACCTCATATGCTCCCTTTTTCTCAGGCATCAATCATAGTCCTGTGCTGTCTGTCTTCCAATGTCTGAAAACAGTTGCTTTATATATTTTGTCCAGTTTTCTGGTTGTTTGTGGCAGGAAGTTCAGTTCAGTCCTTGTTATTCCATCATGGTCAGAAGTGGAACTGTGGATAATCTTGGAGAGATGATAATAGGAAACAGTCACCTAGGGGAGTAGAAAATTATGCTTAATAGAAATTTTCAGTTCATTGCTGAGAAGAATGGATATTCATCTGAAGGTTACGATCATGAATATAAAGTGAAAGCAATCTGCCAAGTTGAGTGACTTTCTTCAGACATTGCTGAGTAGCTCGGGGGCCGCCTGGGAAAAATAGATAGTTTTCCTAGTCCAGAATTGGAGTGTTGCCAGAATAGCTGTTACAATGATAGATCAGGACTTTTAAACCAGCCTCGATCAACAAAAGCAATTTAGCAGTTCTTTAGATATTGCAAAGACCTTACTAAGAAAGTTTCCATTTACTAAAAGAGATATATAATGAACATTTGCAAGAGTTTACCAAGTTATTTCACAGATAATAACAAATGAGTGGTTCCTTACAACAGCATCACAAGAGCGTGAACTATCGTTCATTGCATTCTACAAATTCAAGATTCAGAGAGCAAAAAAGACCAGCCTAAGATTACACAGCTACTAAGTCACAGGGCCATCTTAGTTCTACTGCTCAAATCAGTATTTCAAATTTGAAGGGAACTCTTTTAAGATTCTAAGAAAAGTTCTAGACTCCTTCCCCCAGAAAAATGCATCAGGCCCCTAATTTTACATGTAATTTCAGAGAATTCAGATTCTCTGAAACTCATGCAAGTGTCCGTAGATTAAGATTCTCGAATGCACCTGGACAGTGGTTATGTGGATGTTCACTTTATAATTATGTATTCAATAGTGCATATGTTATATTAACGTTTTCTGTATATGCTTTATTTCATAATAAAAAGAAAAGGCACAATAACGTAGAACTTCTCTACTTTGAGTTATGCTTTTTGGCTATAGATCATTAAAATAGAGCTGCATCCTGGTTTCCAAAAAATCCTCAAAAGTTAAAAAAAATCCAGATCTTGTGCTGTTCACTGTACCTCATTCTTCTTCTCCATTATTATCCATATGCTATGCAATGGTTGGCTACTTTAAAAAAAAAAAAACACAGCCATTGTGTTAGTCTACGTAATATATGTGGTATACCGATTTTGAAATGGAGGAAGTCATAGTCTTAGAATTAGCTGACAATTTCCTTTCCAGTTTAACTTTCCTTCTCCACAAAAATGCTTGCTAATGGAAAGGGAAGCTGAATTTTCAGGGTAATGATGAAAAAGAAACTGTGGCACAGCAAGACAATGCAAGTCGCTCCTTACTGCAGTTTCCCTTAGAAAAAGCATGAACTATTTTCAGTCTACTTCCCACATCCTTTCAGTCAAGAAGATCACAAGATCTTTTTTTTTTTTTTTTTTTTTTTTTGCGGTACGCGGGCCTCTCACTGTTGTGGCCCCTCCTCTCCCATTGCGGAGCACAGGCTCCGGAAGCGCAGGCCCAGCGACCATGGCTCACAGGCCAAGCCGCTCCGCGGCATGCAGGATCCTCCCGGACCGGGGCACAAACCCGCGTCCCCTGCATCGGCAGGCGACTCCCAACCACTGCGCCATCAGGGAAGCCCATACAAGATCATTTTTTAAAAAATATTTATTTATTTATTTGATTGCATTGGGTCTTAATTGCAGCAGGCAGCCTCCTTAGTTGCGGCAGGTGGGCTCCTTAGTTGCAGCTTGCCGGCTCCTTAGTTGCGGATCACCAGCTCCTTGGTTGTGGCATGCAAACTCTTAGTTGAGGCATGCATGTGGGCTCTAGTTACCAGACCAGGGATCGAACCCGAGCCCCCTGCATTGGGAGCGCAGAGTCTTATCCACTGCGGCGCCAGGGAAGTCCCACAAGATCATTTCTTAATCAACTTCCTTAGAGAGATTCCTCTTTAGAGGTTAGTTACATGGGCACAGATATGAAGAGGCAGAAAAAAAGCAAATTTTGAGTTTCCTGACACAAAAATAGCAAGCTTCTTAAGTTCATTAGGTTGACCCTTAAAAATCTACTTTTCTTTATGATTGTCAATTACCTTTAAAAATAAGATGAGGGCTTCCCTGGCGGCGCAGTGGTTGAGAGTCCGCCTGCTGATGCAGGGGACACGGGTTCGTGCCCCGGTCCGGGAAGATCCCACATGCCGTGGAGCGGCTGGGCCCATGAGCCATGGCCGCTAAGCCTGCGCGTCCGGAGCCTGTGCTCCGCAACGGGAGAGGCCACAACAGTGAGAGGCCCGCATACCGCAAAAAAAAAAAAAAAAAGATGAATGATGAGGAAAAGCATTAATTATTTTTGTTTCCCACCTTTTTCTCCATCACATGAATCAGCCAGTGGGCAAACAACAAACCGTAAGATCAGATTTTCACAACCCAGATGGGGGGAAACCTGAAACACTTACTGCAGATCCCCAAGCATGGGGTCCTGCTCTTTCATGTGCTACAAAAGAATTGAAATTACAAGAACACAAAACGAAAAAATTAAATGAGTGAATTCTATCATAATCAAAATCGAGCCTCTAAAAAAAAAGTGAAGGCAATAGGTTCTTTCTTAAAGGTATTTTCTCCCCAAACCAGGTAAATGTCGTATACAGAAAAAAAAAAAAATTTCGTACACATAGTCCCAATAAGGAAAGCAGGATCTAAAGCATAAACACCTTTGCATTACAGCCTCTGTGGCAGTGATTCTCAACGCCGGAGAGTGAGGGATAGCATATCAGAAATACCATGGGAGCCCCCATGGTAAACTCTGGTATCTTATCTACTTACCTACTCTGTATATGCAGATAATGTTACTAGGTAGCTTTCACCCACCGACTCCCACACCCATCTCCCCAATCCTTACATTAAGAACCAAGTCTTCATTATTGCCTCTTGAATTACTTCAATTCTCTCCATTCCCACTTCTCCTGAATTTATTAAAGCAACTACTTTTTGTGGGGTCTGGGCCTGCATTACTACAGCAGCCAACTAAATGAGCTCCCTGCCTCCAGTCTCGTCTCCCTCCGAATCCTTGCCTACACTAAAATGGTACTTCAAAAATGAAAATCTGATTAAGTCATTCCCCTGCCTAAAACCTTATGAAGGCTTCTCAGTGGCCTTGGGGTAAAGTCCAAACTCCTTGGCATGGCATACAAGGTGATCATGATCTGATCTCAGCTCAGCCATCCAACCTCAGCTCTCACAACTACCTCCACTCCCCCAAGACCACACTCTTTCTACTCTCTGGCCGTGTTGCATTACTTGCTGGCCTCCAGATCTTTGCACAGAGGTTACTTCCTCTATCTGAATGTCCTTTTTCCCTCTTCACCTGGTAAATTCCTCCATGTTTTCAGAAGCCATGTCTCCTATGAAACTTTCTCTGACCTGTTAATATTGGGTTTAGAGTCCTAAACCTTCACCTCCATCTGATTCCAAAACATTTCCACCATCCCAAGAGGAATGTCCATAGCCCATCCCCCCAGTACATACACCTGACAGAGCTCTCAGTACTCTTGGGGAATCTATTTTCTTGTCTGTCTCCCCGACTAGACAACAAGCTCCTTGAAGGCAGGGAACATATTTTGTGGAATCCCCAGCATCCCTAAGAACAGAGCCTGGGATGTAATAGTCACACCAGACGATCTGGGTTAGGGAGGTGAGTTTAGGAGTGCGCGAGTGAAAAAAAGAGAAATTTTAGATGGCTTTAATGTCTTTATTGAAAAGTTAGCGTGATTTTGGAAGGAATTACAATTTTGGAAGGAAAAGAGGAGGCATTTAAATGAGAGGTCTTCAGATCTTCCTCTGACATAACTTTTGATTCTTATGCTTTAGGATGTCTTACCTACCTCCAAGTACCCCTTTAAACATCCCTAGGAAGAGAGGATGCTTAGTCTTCTCTCCTTCCATCCATGCCTCAAACTAGAGTCGGCAGTTTCCAATGGTGCCTGGGCGTCAGAAGGTGGGCGCTGACTGAGTAACAGATCCCTAGACTTACAGGAAGAGCAGGTGTTGGAGGTGGGCATGAGGCCTGGGGATTGGACTCCAGACTGAATTTCATCTTTGTGCTTCGTCTCCCTCTGAAGGGCACTATAGCATGGCTCCCAAGGACAAACTTTAATTTGGTACAGTCTAAACCCTTATTAAAGAAATAATATTTTCAGGCTCACAGACATAGAAAACAAACTTATGGTTACCAAAGAGGAAAGGGGGGGAGGGATAAATAAGGAGTTTGGGATTAGCAGATACACACTACTATATATAAAACAGATAAACAATAAAGACCTACTGTACAGCACAGGGAACTATATTCAATATCTTGTAATAACCTATAATGGAAAAGAATCTGAAAAAGAATATATATACATCTGATTCACTTTGCTGTACACCTGAAACTAACACGAGATTGTAAATCAACTATACTACAATTTTTAAAAAAGAAATAATTCTATTTTCTCAATTATCAAGGAACTCACCTTGCTCCGTAGTCCATAAGTCCTCATTTTTTTGAGGAGGAATTTTTTGGACCCTCTTCCAGCTTTGCTGAAATTGTAAAAGAGCTGCATTCCACTTTTAGCAGCTATTTTCTTGTGGTTAGATAATGGCCCCAAATTCCATCAGATTATTTTAAGACAGTTGTCCCTCCAATGGGGAGGGCTGGACTGCCAATCCCTCCTGGCACACTGCAAGTATATTCCGTAACATCTTACAGAAAAACCCGAACAAACTTTTTGGCCAACCCAATAGAGAGCTAGTAATAGGTCACCTGAATTTCTCACCTGCACTCCAAGCTCATTATCTCTAACACTAATCTTCTCTCCAAGCCCATCCCACTCTTGGCATTCTTTGTTGGGATGAGTTGTCACCAATTTAATAACAGGCCCAATGATTAAAGCAGCCCGGAACCTGCTTCAGGTAATCTTCCTTCTCTCCCTCCGTCACCCTTCACACGCAGTCTTGTCACTAGGCCAGCCCCTTCGAACTTCTTAGCCTGTCTGATGTCCATTCCCTTCCCTAATTACTTCCCTAGTTACTGTGTTTGGAGGTCTCTTAAACGTTTCATCTGCTTCTAGTCTGCCCCCCTCCCAAATGCAAGGCTGATCAAGT